TTCAAATGGATTTTAATGAGCATGTAATGATGTTCGTCCATCGCAGGTGATGAGGTCCACTGACCACCCTAAGAAAATTAGGTCGGGCTTGGATGTGTCCTGCTTGGATGTGTCCGGAGATGGCTGGAGAGTCCAATCCAGGCACGAAAGTGCCTCCCACACACAATCACAGGCCAGATTTGGGGTTGGCTGTCAGTGAAGGTGCTTGCCGCTCGTTTTTTGCGCTGGCGTCGCTTTCTTTCGGCTTCTGCTGCCCGTTTCACCTCAGCCCTCTTGGTGCCTTTGTTGATCAGGCCACGCCAGGTGGAGCGATTCAGCGTTGCTAATTTCCAGGACATGTGGTTATTTTTAAACGTATTCAGGAAGATTTAAGAGTGTCTTTAAAACGTTTGGGTTGATCACCACTGTACGAGAGTGCTTGTCCGAGGACAGCTCGACCGAACAACAGTTGCTTTGGGATGAGTTCATCTGGTAAACCGACGATGTGGACAGCCTATCTGATTTGATGCTTCATCAGGACTACGTAGATAGTGGGCTGGTTTGCTTTGGTCATGACTTTAGTGTCAGAGGTCTCGTCTTGCCACATGAGCATGAACTAAGATCAGCATCAGCTAATGAGCATATGCGCTAAGATCAGAAAATCCAGAGTGGTCCAGGACACTGCAAAAGATTTAACCCTAACGACACACGACTGACCGAAAAGAAATAAATCTACGGTAAAATCATCTATAGATAGGATAGTTCGCGCGTAAAATATTCGCCATTCCACTGAGCGATTTGAAATTTGGCGAGCAAGTAAGTACAGTTGACTGTTTTTCTCCATGCATTACATTTTGTGCCCAATCTGCAGATAGAGGCTAACTATTATTGTTTTGGGCGTAAAGACTGTTTTTTTTTTACCAGCGTATGAGCATTTGAAGCGTAATCCGACTCACGAAGACGCAATAAAATCATGTTAATAGTTAGCTTCTTAAGTTGGGAAAATTTCCTAGCAACAGCACCTTACTGTATCTGGATATGTTACTTGTACTTGTGCTTGTGCGCTAGTGAACAGCAGCCTTTGGATTTTAGCAGATAAACAATCAGGTTGAGCTTTTTGAACTGTTGTTCTGGTGTTCCCACTTGTGATTATGATTAATAGATGGCTACCAGGCACACGCGCATCAAAAAGTTCTGTTATATATGGTTTTCCCCTTTACAACATTGTCATTTCTCAGTCTGAACTAAAATTTATCTAAATACATAAGCTGTATGCCAATAAAGACACGAATGATCATCGCAATTATATACAAAGCCTGACACAATTCAGCTTGAATGAGATACGAACTCATTACCTCTGCGATACCGGTGCAGTGCTCTGCCAACTGAGCTATCAAGCCAACTGGGAGCTGGTCACTTTGTGAGTTCGTAATGTACCTGTAGATGGGAGAGAATGCAAGTGAATATATGAAATATCATATATTTGAACTGCGGAGAAAGATATGAAGACATGATTTATCGTCGCAGTTATATACACAACTTAAGCAGTTGTGAAATTAAAGCCTAAAAAAAATCAGGCTTGAACGGGATTCGAACCCATAACCTCTATCTACGATGATCATTCGTGTCCGTTCGTAGCTCCTGATCTCCGCAGTTCAAATATATGATCTTTCATGTATGCATCTGTTCCCTCGTTCACTTGGCTTGATAGCTCAGTTGGTAGAGCACTGAACAGGTATCGCAGAGGTAATGAGTTCGAATCTCATTCAAGCCTGAATTTTTTTCAGGTCTTAATTTCAAAACTNCTCGTTCACTTGGCTTGATAGCTCAGTTGGTAGAGCACTGAACAGGTATCGCAGAGGTAATGAGTTCGAATCTCATTCAAGCCTGAATTTTTTTCAGGTCTTAATTTCAAAACTGCTTAATATATAACCGCAATGATCAATCATGTCTTCATATCTATCTCCGCAGTTCAAATATATATGATCTCTCATATATTCATTCGTATTCTTCACCATCTTCGGGTATATTACGAGCTCACAACATGACCAGCTCCCAGCTGGCTTGATACCTCAGTTGGTAGAGTACTGCAGCGGTATCGGAGAAGTCATACACGGGTTCGAATCCCGTTCAAGCCTGAATTTTTTTTTCAGGCTTATTATTTCGGAACTGCTTAAGTTGTGGACATAACTGTGATGTTCAATCATGTCTTTATCTCTTTTTCCCCAGTTCAAATATATGATCTTTCGTATTGCATATATTCCAATACTACTAAAGAGAATAAACATTTCAGCTTGTGCATGAGCTAAATCTGTGACGAAAAAGTAATACCATTCATAGAAAATATTCATATTCGCGGTTTTCTTCCTCTGTCGATCATGACTTGTAAAGTTAGAGTAAACGTGGTGCAACTAACATCATAAGATACCTGGAAAGACTTGATTGGTGATAACAGTTTTCATTTTTGAGTAGACTTACATGAAGTATCTGTCCGTTCACTAAATTTTGAGCGCCAAGCCTTTACAGACAAGTCAGTTGAGTAACGCGCGACGGAGCTTTCGTGACGAAGTGTTGGACTTATAATTACAGCTGTGTTGCCACGGCAACTTTCCTCGTTTAAGTAACGTAGCCAGTTGCCCGTGACGATAACACAAGTTGAACGTTAAAACCTGGTGACCAAACTTTCGTCGCGCCGTCAACTGATAATCGTACTACGCGAATCGAAGAACTGAAAGAAAACTGGGCCTAGGCCTTCTACAGCTAGGAAAGCTACGGAGATGTAACAGACTTTACACGATCCTGATACATCGACAGTTATCTTTTTTTTTAGCTATCAAGCTATCAGTAAGGATAATTACACTCTTTCTTTTTTATAAGAATATGTTTTATGAGAATATAGAGTCTGAAATTTGTGAAATTTTAGGAATATTTTAAGAATAAATCCGAGGCTGAGATTTTGAAAAGAATAATTTTTTTGAGTTGAAAAGTTGTAAATACAATACAATTATATGTTTTTAACTAAGCCGTATAAAATCCTTCCTTCTCTATACGGTAAAAGTAGCCAAAAAACAACAAAAACAGCACTAGCCGTATGTTCGATGCCCTGATGCCTGCAGGCTGGCCCCAAAATTACTCTTATACCATCCAGACACTAAATACATTCGAAAACAAAAATGTCATACGCTGTCACAAGAGACTCATATGAATATTAAGAAGAATGTTTTCAGCCTAAAATCGGCGGAAAAAATAAGAATATTCGGCCTCGGTCGGAAAAACAATATTCTTACAGAAAATAGAGAGTGTAGCGAATTGTCTGATGTCAGGGCGAGACAGAAATCTCATGACCACGGTTGTCTCATAGCTAAGTTCAAGGAAGCATATGCATCTTCCTTCTCTGAATAATAAATGTTATTTACTTCTGAAACATAGTATATTAGCTTATACTATGTTTCAGTCAGGTTTCTACGTGGCCAAGCCCAGATTATAAACCAGTTAAAATTATATTTCCCTTGATGTTTACATTCTAAGATACAAACATGGCATTCTAGCTGTGAAAACTGCCAGAGCTGGCAGGTCTATGCCAGTCGTTTTTTAATTAACAAAGAAGAGCGAACAGCATAGAGAACAAACAACTTTCGTGACCGTTATCATGTTTTTAAACATGAGCAATTTGGCGGAACCGTCGGCCAAAGCCCATATTTTTAAATAATGGCTGAGAAAGAAATTCTTAACGTCACGTACCCAGCCCGACCCCTCCCACTTATTTTGAGTACATCTTGCCGCGTGACCTTGAAGTAGACACTTCACCCACCATTGCATAAATAACACTGTGTTTGATTGAATAATTAAAAAGCTGTCGTGACCAATTAGAAATTTCCAAATGTCCCGACTATGTAGCTTCACGTAGTATACATTTCCATTATGTGTCATTGAAAGTTATACTAAGTTAACAAACCGTACCTAATGCCTAATGAGTTGAGAAAATTTGACAGAAAACTCGCGTGCTGACAACCTTATCAACTCAGAACTGATTCTATTTCATTTAGAAATAGAATTGGAAGAAGATCTCTTGTATAATTGTTTTAATATAAACTGTACTTGATTTAATGTCCCCGAACTTATATTATGAGTTTGAAGTGGCAGAAGATGGCAGTGTTACAGGCACTTTATAATTTATTTTAGGACATTCTTTCTTGGCTAAGTTCAACAACAATATTGAACAAGTCTGAGCCGCGAGGCTCAAAAAACGGGAAAATGAGAAATTTAAAATGAACTCTGACGCTAGAAAGGGCCATTCAGTTTTCTTAGATGTCTGACTGAATTTCGCCCTAATCTGTCATTTCAGACAAAGTGAAACTCTTCAGTCGGCCCAAAAGAAGCGTGGGCTAACATATTCGATCATAAAGTCCCTTAGTTACTGCGCAATACTGCCTCTGGGCATGACCAGTTGTTAAATGAAATTTGCCCATGATCTGACTGAACAAAGCAGTATCTATCAGCTGTGTTTATTTAAACAAAGAGCTAGTTAAGTGGAGTTTTTATACGAGAGGCTGTCATGCATACGTTAGTCATCGTTTCATGTTTCATGCTTCTCTTTCAGTCTTGGAGTGCTCTTCACTCAAACCTGTCACTGTAAATAAGCATAATTTTCTGTAGTTGGCCGGTTTGAAGGATTGATGTTCACCAGTCCGATCATATGCCTTTCCCGTAGATCCCGAAAAAAGATGACTGGCCAAACTTGTTCATCGCTAAGGTTACCATATCGTCCTAAGGAATTCTTTTGTTTTCTTTGAAATAGCTCGGGCTCCCCCCCCCGCCCCCCTTTTTTTGTCATGTTTTAAGTGAATTCAGCTGGTTACAAATAAATTAGTAATATGTTTTGTATAGCCTTTTTCGCGGACGTGTCACTAAGCAATTCGGTCAGACTTCCGTGATCACAGTTCGCGGGCTCTTTACTGTCAGCCAATCACAGCAAGACACGACGGGTACGTAAAACGATTTCCGGTCCGTGATTCCACGTCTTCGTCCTCTTTCGTCGTCGTCTTCCAAGTTGAACAGTCGAGCGTTTCGTTGTACACGGTCAAGAATTCCACGATGAAGATTTATCTCGCATTATTACTTAGCTTAGTGGCTTTCGCGTTTGGAGAAGACATCAAAGAAGAAGAAGATGTCTTAGTCTTAACCGAAGCTGTTTTTGATCAAGCTATCACAGACAATGAGCATATTCTAGTCGAATTTTGTAAGTTACTGTACACGTTTTGGCTCTTTTGCGAGGTCACTTTAAACAATATGAAGGTATGGTTTCTGTTATAATTTGTGAATTGATTTTCCGTTTTAGATGCCCCATGGTGTGGACACTGCAAAGCTCTGGCCCCAGAATATGCGAAAGCTGCCAAAACTCTCAAAGAACAAGGCTCGGCCATTAAGCTTGCAAAGGTTGACGCCACCGCAGAAACCAAACTTGGGCAGAAATACGAAGTGCAAGGTTACCCTACAATCAAGTTTTTCAGGGCAGGAAAATCTGTAGAATACTCAGGTTAGTTGAAAAATCGAGTGGCTCTGTCTGTTCTAAACTCGAGTGATCGGTCGCGAAACATTTTATAATTAATCTTAGCTTAGATTACTACAACTGCACGTGCAAATTGTGTTGTACAAAGTTGTGAAACATTAATTGTTCAGACCCGAAATATTCATTGTTCAGGCTTCGATGTTTTCCTTTACACTGAATATTTTGGTTAAGGAAATTGGAAGCAATAATTACTATAATCTGTCATTAGCCTTATCTCTAAAACTTCTTAAACTGTGTTTTTCTTTGAGAAAATTACCAAGAAACTTAAAGGCGATAAAATTTTAGAAAAATAAGGACTCGTTGTTCTGTTGTCGTCTCCGTTAATATATCAGCTTCTCGGCAGTATAAAAGTATTCCCTGAGAAATTGCGGTTATTAGTGAGTGTGAACGCGATCCTACTTGTTAAGCTTCTTTGTTCAGTGTCGTAAATTTAACTTGTGCGAAATTAACGTGAGAAAACAATACTCTTTTTGTTATCGCAGCTGTGAATGTGTCCAAATTATTAAACTGGCTTTATTTAGTTTTAAACAACTCGACCGTGCAATATGGGTCGAAAACTTTGTCTAGTCTGTAAAAGTTATGGAGAACATTCATTAGATCCAGGCTTTGTTAATTTTCTCTTCACCTGTTTACTAGCTTTGCGTTATCTAATGTTTGAACAAGAAAATCGTGATAATGGATAAACAAATAATTTCAGACAGAAAAATTTTTTAAAATAATTTAATGATAAATAAAAGGACATAAAACCGATTTTGACATGTGTTTTTAAACTGATGATTCATCACTGCAAAAACAAGGAAAAAGTCATCTCTTGATGATGATTCATCGTTCCATTGTTCTTCAAACCTAATCAAATTCAAATTAAATTCTGCCATTGCTCTTTTTCTCTTGGTAACCAATCACAAGTGAAAAACTTGATGCTTCTTCATTTTGGAAATTAAAAGTGCAAAAATAATAATCATCTTTTCTTGTTCTACATCATTTTGTTAATTTTTTCCTCAGTATATTGCTTTAAGCTGTTTGTTTTATGCTCGAACAACATTTTTAGCGTCTTGTTACAGGTGGCCGTACAGCTAGCGAAATCATCACTTGGTTGGAGAAAAAGACTGGTCCACCAGCCAAAGAACTGACAACTGCTGATGAAATCAAGGAATTCACTANCCCCCCCCCCCCTTTATTAAGTGCCCCCTTCGAATAAGTGCCCGCCATCTTCTCCTAAATTTGAAATAAGCGCCCCGGCGCTAATTCGAGGATTTATGGTAAATGACAATAAATTTGCCAATTGATACTTTTAATGCTAACAGGGAATTATAACCGTTTGTAAACAAGAGAGTTGAAAATTAAGGTCAAGATATTTCTTCCTCTCCTTCTCTTACATACGCTTTCCCCCTTGTCCGTATCAATGTTGAGCTCTCAAACGTGCACATGCTATATAAAGAATTTTCATCCTCGAAGGGTCAAACATTGGTGGAGCTATTTGTCCGCCCTTCCCCACGCTATATATAGGGATTGAATTCAGGCGAGAGAAAAGAGAGTCCAGAAACCAATCAGAGTGTGGTGTAAACGAGCTTGTTCAAATGACGAACTAAGTACCACTAAATGACAAAAACATTGTCGCCAATTGCGTTCAAATGGATTTTAATGAGCATGTAATGATGTTCGTCCATCGCAGGTGATGAGGTCCACTGACCACCCTAAGAAAATTAGGTCGGGCTTGGATGTGTCCTGCTTGGATGTGTCCGGAGATGGCTGGAGAGTCCAATCCAGGCACGAAAGTGCCTCCCACACACAATCACAGGCCAGATTTGGGGTTGGCTGTCAGTGAAGGTGCTTGCCGCTCGTTTTTTGCGCTGGCGTCGCTTTCTTTCGGCTTCTGCTGCCCGTTTCACCTCAGCCCTCTTGGTGCCTTTGTTGATCAGGCCACGCCAGGTGGAGCGATTCAGCGTTGCTAATTTCCAGGACATGTGGTTATTTTTAAACGTATTCAGGAAGATTTAAGAGTGTCTTTAAAACGTTTGGGTTGATCACCACTGTACGAGAGTGCTTGTCCGAGGACAGCTCGACCGAACAACAGTTGCTTTGGGATGAGTTCATCTGGTAAACCGACGATGTGGACAGCCTATCTGATTTGATGCTTCATCAGGACTACGTAGATAGTGGGCTGGTTTGCTTTGGTCATGACTTTAGTGTCAGAGGTCTCGTCTTGCCACATGAGCATGAACTAAGATCAGCATCAGCTAATGAGCATATGCGCTAAGATCAGAAAATCCAGAGTGGTCCAGGACACTGCAAAAGATTTAACCCTAACGACACACGACTGACCGAAAAGAAATAAATCTACGGTAAAATCATCTATAGATAGGATAGTTCGCGCGTAAAATATTTGCCATTCCACAGAGTGATTTGAACTTTGGCGAGCAAGTAAGTATAATTGACTGTTTTTCTCCATGCATTACATTTTGTACCCAATCCGCAGATAGAGGCTAACTATTATTGTTTTGGGCGTAAAGACTGTTTTTTTTACCAGCGTATGAGCATATGAAGCATACGCCGACTTACGAAAACGCAATAAAATGTTAATAGGTAGCATCTTTTGTTGGGAAAATTTCCTAACAACAGCTCCTTGTTGTGTCTGGATATGTTACTTGTGGTTATGCTTGCGTGCTAGCCGCTCAGCTAGTGAACAGCAGCCTTTTGATTTTAGCAGATAAACAATTAGGTTAAGCTTTTTGAAGGCTGTTCTGGTGTTCCTACTTGTGATTATGATTAATAGATGGCTACCAGGCACACGCGCATCAAAAAGTTCTGTTATATACGGTTTTACCCTTTTTAAAGGGTAAAACCGTATATAACAGAACTTTTAAAAAACATTGTCATTTCTCAGTCTGAACTAGAATTTATCTAAATACATAAGCTGTATGCCAATAAAGACACGAATGACCATCGCAATCATATACAAAGCCTGAAACAATTCAGCTTGAATGAGATTCGAACTCATTACCTCTGCGATACCGGTACAGTGCTCTGCCAACTGAGCTATCAAGCCAACTGGGAGCTGGTCACTTTGTGAGTTCGTAATGTACCTGTAGATGGGAGAGAATGCAAGTGAATATGAAATATCATATATTTGAAATGCGGAGAAAGATATGAAGACGTGATTTAGCGTTGCAGTTACATACACAACTTAAGCAGTTGTGAAATTAAAGCCTGAAAAAAAATCAGGCTTGAACGGGATTCGAACCCATAACCTCTATCTACGATGATCATTCATGTCTTCGCAGCTCCTGATCTCCGCAGTTCAAATATATGACCTTTCATATATGCATCTGTTCCCTCGTTCACTTGGCTTGATAGCTCAGTTGGTAGAGCACTGAACCGGTATCGCAGAGGTAATGAGTTCGAATTTCATTCAAGCCTGAATTTTTTTCAGGTCTTAATTTCAAAACTGCTTAAGTTGTGTATATAACCGCAATGATCATGTCTCCATATCTATCTCCGCAGTTCAAATATATATGATCTCTCATATATTCATTTATATTCTTCACCATCTACGGGTATATTACGAGATCACAACATAACCAGCTCCCAGCTGGCTTGATAGCTCAGTTTGTAGAGTACTGCACCGGTATCGCAGAAGTCATACATGGGTTCGAATCCCGTTCAAGCCTGAATTTTTTTTCAGGCTTTTTATTTCAGAACTACTTAAGTCGTGGACATAACTGTGATGATCAATCATGTCTTTATCTCTTTCTCCGCTGTTCAAATATATGATCTTTCGTATTGCATATATGCCAATAAGTAGAGATAGAGAACCAACATTTCAGCTTGTGCATGAGCTAAATCTGTGACGAAAAAGTAATACCATTCATAGAAAATGTTCATATTCGCGGTTTTTTTCTCTGTCGATCATGACTTGTAAAGTGAGAGTAAACGTGGTGCAACTAAAATCATAAGATACCTGGAAAGACCTGAGTAGACAAGAGGTATCCGTCCGTTCACTAAATTTTGAGCGCCAAGCCTTTTCAGACGAGTCAGTTGAGTCAGGCGCCACGGAGCTTTCGTGACGAAGTTTTGGACTTACAATTACAGCGTTGCCACGGGCAACTTTCCTCGTTTAAGTAACGGAGCCAGTTACCCATGACAACAACACAAGTTGAACGTTAAAACCTGGTCACCAAACTTTCGTCGCGCCTTAACTCAGCTGGGGTCAACTGACAATCGTACAACGCGAATCGAAGAACTGAAAGAAAACTGGGCCTAGGCCTTCTACAGCTAGGAAAGCTACGTAGATGTAACAGATTTTACATGAATTAAATCATGATACATCGACAGTTATCTTTTTTTTTAGTTATCAAGCTATCGATAGGGATAATTACACTCTTTCTTTTTTATAAGAATATGTTTTATGAGAATATCGAGTCTGAAATTTGCGAAATTTTAGGAATATTTTAAGAATAAACCCGAGGCTGAGATTTTGAAAAGAATAATTTTTTTGGAGTTGAAAAGTTGTAAATACAGTACAATTATATGTTTTTAACTAGACCGTATAAAATCCTTCCTTCTCTATACGGTAAAAGTAGCCAAAAAACAACAAAAACAGCACTAGCCGTATGTTCGATGCCCTGATGCCTGCAGGCTGGCCCCAAAATTACTCTTATACCATCCAGACACTAAATACATTCGAAAACAAAAATGTCATACGCTGTCACAAGAGACTCATATGAATATTAAGAAGAATGTTTTCAGCCTAAAATCGGCGGAAAAAATAAGAATATTCGGCCTCGGTCGGAAAAACAATATTCTTACAGAAAATAGAGAGTGTAGCGAATTGTCTGATGTCAGGGCGAGACAGAAATCTCATGACCACGGTTGTCTCATAGCTAAGTTCAAGGAAGCATATGCATCTTCCTTCTCTGAATAATAAATGTTATTTACTTCTGAAACATAGTATATTAGCTTATACTATGTTTCAGTCAGGTTTCTACGTGGCCAAGCCCAGATTATAAACCAGTTAAAATTATATTTCCCTTGATGTTTACATTCTAAGATACAAACATGGCATTCTAGCTGTGAAAACTGCCAGAGCTGGCAGGTCTATGCCAGTCGTTTTTTAATTAACAAAGAAGAGCGAACAGCATAGAGAACAAACAACTTTCGTGACCGTTATCATGTTTTTAAACATGAGCAATTTGGCGGAACCGTCGGCCAAAGCCCATATTTTTAAATAATGGCTGAGAAAGAAATTCTTAACGTCACGTACCCAGCCCGACCCCTCCCACTTATTTTGAGTACATCTTGCCGCGTGACCTTGAAGTAGACACTTCACCCACCATTGCATAAATAACACTGTGTTTGATTGAATAATTAAAAAGCTGTCGTGACCAATTAGAAATTTCCAAATGTCCCGACTATGTAGCTTCACGTAGTATACATTTCCATTATGTGTCATTGAAAGTTATACTAAGTTAACAAACCGTACCTAATGCCTAATGAGTTGAGAAAATTTGACAGAAAACTCGCGTGCTGACAACCTTATCAACTCAGAACTGATTCTATTTCATTTAGAAATAGAATTGGAAGAAGATCTCTTGTATAATTGTTTTAATATAAACTGTACTTGATTTAATGTCCCCGAACTTATATTATGAGTTTGAAGTGGCAGAAGATGGCAGTGTTACAGGCACTTTATAATTTATTTTAGGACATTCTTTCTTGGCTAAGTTCAACAACAATATTGAACAAGTCTGAGCCGCGAGGCTCAAAAAACGGGAAAATGAGAAATTTAAAATGAACTCTGACGCTAGAAAGGGCCATTCAGTTTTCTTAGATGTCTGACTGAATTTCGCCCTAATCTGTCATTTCAGACAAAGTGAAACTCTTCAGTCGGCCCAAAAGAAGCGTGGGCTAACATATTCGATCATAAAGTCCCTTAGTTACTGCGCAATACTGCCTCTGGGCATGACCAGTTGTTAAATGAAATTTGCCCATGATCTGACTGAACAAAGCAGTATCTATCAGCTGTGTTTATTTAAACAAAGAGCTAGTTAAGTGGAGTTTTTATACGAGAGGCTGTCATGCATACGTTAGTCATCGTTTCATGTTTCATGCTTCTCTTTCAGTCTTGGAGTGCTCTTCACTCAAACCTGTCACTGTAAATAAGCATAATTTTCTGTAGTTGGCCGGTTTGAAGGATTGATGTTCACCAGTCCGATCATATGCCTTTCCCGTAGATCCCGAAAAAAGATGACTGGCCAAACTTGTTCATCGCTAAGGTTACCATATCGTCCTAAGGAATTCTTTTGTTTTCTTTGAAATAGCTCGGGCTCCCCCCCCCGCCCCCCTTTTTTTGTCATGTTTTAAGTGAATTCAGCTGGTTACAAATAAATTAGTAATATGTTTTGTATAGCCTTTTTCGCGGACGTGTCACTAAGCAATTCGGTCAGACTTCCGTGATCACAGTTCGCGGGCTCTTTACTGTCAGCCAATCACAGCAAGACACGACGGGTACGTAAAACGATTTCCGGTCCGTGATTCCACGTCTTCGTCCTCTTTCGTCGTCGTCTTCCAAGTTGAACAGTCGAGCGTTTCGTTGTACACGGTCAAGAATTCCACGATGAAGATTTATCTCGCATTATTACTTAGCTTAGTGGCTTTCGCGTTTGGAGAAGACATCAAAGAAGAAGAAGATGTCTTAGTCTTAACCGAAGCTGTTTTTGATCAAGCTATCACAGACAATGAGCATATTCTAGTCGAATTTTGTAAGTTACTGTACACGTTTTGGCTCTTTTGCGAGGTCACTTTAAACAATATGAAGGTATGGTTTCTGTTATAATTTGTGAATTGATTTTCCGTTTTAGATGCCCCATGGTGTGGACACTGCAAAGCTCTGGCCCCAGAATATGCGAAAGCTGCCAAAACTCTCAAAGAACAAGGCTCGGCCATTAAGCTTGCAAAGGTTGACGCCACCGCAGAAACCAAACTTGGGCAGAAATACGAAGTGCAAGGTTACCCTACAATCAAGTTTTTCAGGGCAGGAAAATCTGTAGAATACTCAGGTTAGTTGAAAAATCGAGTGGCTCTGTCTGTTCTAAACTCGAGTGATCGGTCGCGAAACATTTTATAATTAATCTTAGCTTAGATTACTACAACTGCACGTGCAAATTGTGTTGTACAAAGTTGTGAAACATTAATTGTTCAGACCCGAAATATTCATTGTTCAGGCTTCGATGTTTTCCTTTACACTGAATATTTTGGTTAAGGAAATTGGAAGCAATAATTACTATAATCTGTCATTAGCCTTATCTCTAAAACTTCTTAAACTGTGTTTTTCTTTGAGAAAATTACCAAGAAACTTAAAGGCGATAAAATTTTAGAAAAATAAGGACTCGTTGTTCTGTTGTCGTCTCCGTTAATATATCAGCTTCTCGGCAGTATAAAAGTATTCCCTGAGAAATTGCGGTTATTAGTGAGTGTGAACGCGATCCTACTTGTTAAGCTTCTTTGTTCAGTGTCGTAAATTTAACTTGTGCGAAATTAACGTGAGAAAACAATACTCTTTTTGTTATCGCAGCTGTGAATGTGTCCAAATTATTAAACTGGCTTTATTTAGTTTTAAACAACTCGACCGTGCAATATGGGTCGAAAACTTTGTCTAGTCTGTAAAAGTTATGGAGAACATTCATTAGATCCAGGCTTTGTTAATTTTCTCTTCACCTGTTTACTAGCTTTGCGTTATCTAATGTTTGAACAAGAAAATCGTGATAATGGATAAACAAATAATTTCAGACAGAAAAATTTTTTAAAATAATTTAATGATAAATAAAAGGACATAAAACCGATTTTGACATGTGTTTTTAAACTGATGATTCATCACTGCAAAAACAAGGAAAAAGTCATCTCTTGATGATGATTCATCGTTCCATTGTTCTTCAAACCTAATCAAATTCAAATTAAATTCTGCCATTGCTCTTTTTCTCTTGGTAACCAATCACAAGTGAAAAACTTGATGCTTCTTCATTTTGGAAATTAAAAGTGCAAAAATAATAATCATCTTTTCTTGTTCTACATCATTTTGTTAATTTTTTCCTCAGTATATTGCTTTAAGCTGTTTGTTTTATGCTCGAACAACATTTTTAGCGTCTTGTTACAGGTGGCCGTACAGCTAGCGAAATCATCACTTGGTTGGAGAAAAAGACTGGTCCACCAGCCAAAGAACTGACAACTGCTGATGAAATCAAGGAATTCACTACAAAGAAAGACGTCATTGTTGTTGGTTTCTACAAGGACAAAGAATCCGATGCTGCCAAAGCTTTCACTGAGGCTGCACAGGGTATCGATGATATTGAGTTTGGAATTGTACATGACGAGGCTCTTGCTAAAGAGCACAATGTAGAAGGAGATAACGTTGTTCTTTTTAAAAAGGTACTGCTCTATGATTAGTGTTAGTGTTGAAAAACTCTTCTTACCTTCTTCTTTCCTCGCTACTTCTGCAGAACTTTGATCCTGATGACGTAATCCAGTATGGATTTCTATCTTCTTTTTACATTTTGATCACAGATGTGGATAACTGGGTTGNTGCGGAGAAAGATATGAAGACGTGATTTAGCGTTGCAGTTACATACACAACTTAAGCAGTTGTGAAATTAAAGCCTGAAAAAAAATCAGGCTTGAACGGGATTCGAACCCATAACCTCTATCTACGATGATCATTCATGTCTTCGCAGCTCCTGATCTCCGCAGTTCAAATATATGACCTTTCATATATGCATCTGTTCCCTCGTTCACTTGGCTTGATAGCTCAGTTGGTAGAGCACTGAACCGGTATCGCAGAGGTAATGAGTTCGAATTTCATTCAAGCCTGAATTTTTTTCAGGTCTTAATTTCAAAACTGCTTAAGTTGTGTATATAACCGCAATGATCATGTCTCCATATCTATCTCCGCAGTTCAAATATATATGATCTCTCATATATTCATTTATATTCTTCACCATCTACGGGTATATTACGAGATCACAACATAACCAGCTCCCAGCTGGCTTGATAGCTCAGTTTGTAGAGTACTGCACCGGTATCGCAGAAGTCATACATGGGTTCGAATCCCGTTCAAGCCTGAATTTTTTTTCAGGCTTTTTATTTCAGAACTACTTAAGTCGTGGACATAACTGTGATGATCAATCATGTCTTTATCTCTTTCTCCGCTGTTCAAATATATGATCTTTCGTATTGCATATATGCCAATAAGTAGAGATAGAGAACCAACATTTCAGCTTGTGCATGAGCTAAATCTGTGACGAAAAAGTAATACCATTCATAGAAAATGTTCATATTCGCGGTTTTTTTCTCTGTCGATCATGACTTGTAAAGTGAGAGTAAACGTGGTGCAACTAAAATCATAAGATACCTGGAAAGACCTGAGTAGACAAGAGGTATCCGTCCGTTCACTAAATTTTGAGCGCCAAGCCTTTTCAGACGAGTCAGTTGAGTCAGGCGCCACGGAGCTTTCGTGACGAAGTTTTGGACTTACAATTACAGCGTTGCCACGGGCAACTTTCCTCGTTTAAGTAACGGAGCCAGTTACCCATGACAACAACACAAGTTGAACGTTAAAACCTGGTCACCAAACTTTCGTCGCGCCTTAACTCAGCTGGGGTCAACTGACAATCGTACAACGCGAATCGAAGAACTGAAAGAAAACTGGGCCTAGGCCTTCTACAGCTAGGAAAGCTACGTAGATGTAACAGATTTTACATGAATTAAATCATGATACATCGACAGTTATCTTTTTTTTTAGTTATCAAGCTATCGATAGGGATAATTACACTCTTTCTTTTTTATAAGAATATGTTTTATGAGAATATCGAGTCTGAAATTTGCGAAATTTTAGGAATATTTTAAGAATAAACCCGAGGCTGAGATTTTGAAAAGAATAATTTTTTTGGAGTTGAAAAGTTGTAAATACAGTACAATTATATGTTTTTAACTAGACCGTATAAAATCCTTCCTTCTCTATACGGTAAAAGTAGCCAAAAAACAACAAAAACAGCACTAGCCGTATGTTCGATGCCCTGATGCCTGCAGGCTGGCCCCAAAATTACTCTTATACCATCCAGACACTAAATACATTCGAAAACAAAAATGTCATACGCTGTCACAAGAGACTCATATGAATATTAAGAAGAATGTTTTCAGCCTAAAATCGGCGGAAAAAATAAGAATATTCGGCCTCGGTCGGAAAAACAATATTCTTACAGAAAATAGAGAGTGTAGCGAATTGTCTGATGTCAGGGCGAGACAGAAATCTCATGACCACGGTTGTCTCATAGCTAAGTTCAAGGAAGCATATGCATCTTCCTTCTCTGAATAATAAATGTTATTTACTTCTGAAACATAGTATATTAGCTTATACTATGTTTCAGTCAGGTTTCTACGTGGCCAAGCCCAGATTATAAACCAGTTAAAATTATATTTCCCTTGATGTTTACATTCTAAGATACAAACATGGCATTCTAGCTGTGAAAACTGCCAGAGCTGGCAGGTCTATGCCAGTCGTTTTTTAATTAACAAAGAAGAGCGAACAGCATAGAGAACAAACAACTTTCGTGACCGTTATCATGTTTTTAAACATGAGCAATTTGGCGGAACCGTCGGCCAAAGCCCATATTTTTAAATAATGGCTGAGAAAGAAATTCTTAACGTCACGTACCCAGCCCGACCCCTCCCACTTATTTTGAGTACATCTTGCCGCGTGACCTTGAAGTAGACACTTCACCCACCATTGCATAAATAACACTGTGTTTGATTGAATAATTAAAAAGCTGTCGTGACCAATTAGAAATTTCCAAATGTCCCGACTATGTAGCTTCACGTAGTATACATTTCCATTATGTGTCATTGAAAGTTATACTAAGTTAACAAACCGTACCTAATGCCTAATGAGTTGAGAAAATTTGACAGAAAACTCGCGTGCTGACAACCTTATCAACTCAGAACTGATTCTATTTCATTTAGAAATAGAATTGGAAGAAGATCTCTTGTATAATTGTTTTAATATAAACTGTACTTGATTTAATGTCCCCGAACTTATATTATGAGTTTGAAGTGGCAGAAGATGGCAGTGTTACAGGCACTTTATAATTTATTTTAGGACATTCTTTCTTGGCTAAGTTCAACAACAATATTGAACAAGTCTGAGCCGCGAGGCTCAAAAAACGGGAAAATGAGAAATTTAAAATGAACTCTGACGCTAGAAAGGGCCATTCAGTTTTCTTAGATGTCTGACTGAATTTCGCCCTAATCTGTCATTTCAGACAAAGTGAAACTCTTCAGTCGGCCCAAAAGAAGCGTGGGCTAACATATTCGATCATAAAGTCCCTTAGTTACTGCGCAATACTGCCTCTGGGCATGACCAGTTGTTAAATGAAATTTGCCCATGATCTGACTGAACAAAGCAGTATCTATCAGCTGTGTTTATTTAAACAAAGAGCTAGTTAAGTGGAGTTTTTATACGAGAGGCTGTCATGCATACGTTAGTCATCGTTTCATGTTTCATGCTTCTCTTTCAGTCTTGGAGTGCTCTTCACTCAAACCTGTCACTGTAAATAAGCATAATTTTCTGTAGTTGGCCGGTTTGAAGGATTGATGTTCACCAGTCCGATCATATGCCTTTCCCGTAGATCCCGAAAAAAGATGACTGGCCAAACTTGTTCATCGCTAAGGTTACCATATCGTCCTAAGGAATTCTTTTGTTTTCTTTGAAATAGCTCGGGCTCCCCCCCCCGCCCCCCTTTTTTTGTCATGTTTTAAGTGAATTCAGCTGGTTACAAATAAATTAGTAATATGTTTTGTATAGCCTTTTTCGCGGACGTGTCACTAAGCAATTCGGTCAGACTTCCGTGATCACAGTTCGCGGGCTCTTTACTGTCAGCCAATCACAGCAAGACACGACGGGTACGTAAAACGATTTCCGGTCCGTGATTCCACGTCTTCGTCCTCTTTCGTCGTCGTCTTCCAAGTTGAACAGTCGAGCGTTTCGTTGTACACGGTCAAGAATTCCACGATGAAGATTTATCTCGCATTATTACTTAGCTTAGTGGCTTTCGCGTTTGGAGAAGACATCAAAGAAGAAGAAGATGTCTTAGTCTTAACCGAAGCTGTTTTTGATCAAGCTATCACAGACAATGAGCATATTCTAGTCGAATTTTGTAAGTTACTGTACACGTTTTGGCTCTTTTGCGAGGTCACTTTAAACAATATGAAGGTATGGTTTCTGTTATAATTTGTGAATTGATTTTCCGTTTTAGATGCCCCATGGTGTGGACACTGCAAAGCTCTGGCCCCAGAATATGCGAAAGCTGCCAAAACTCTCAAAGAACAAGGCTCGGCCATTAAGCTTGCAAAGGTTGACGCCACCGCAGAAACCAAACTTGGGCAGAAATACGAAGTGCAAGGTTACCCTACAATCAAGTTTTTCAGGGCAGGAAAATCTGTAGAATACTCAGGTTAGTTGAAAAATCGAGTGGCTCTGTCTGTTCTAAACTCGAGTGATCGGTCGCGAAACATTTTATAATTAATCTTAGCTTAGATTACTACAACTGCACGTGCAAATTGTGTTGTACAAAGTTGTGAAACATTAATTGTTCAGACCCGAAATATTCATTGTTCAGGCTTCGATGTTTTCCTTTACACTGAATATTTTGGTTAAGGAAATTGGAAGCAATAATTACTATAATCTGTCATTAGCCTTATCTCTAAAACTTCTTAAACTGTGTTTTTCTTTGAGAAAATTACCAAGAAACTTAAAGGCGATAAAATTTTAGAAAAATAAGGACTCGTTGTTCTGTTGTCGTCTCCGTTAATATATCAGCTTCTCGGCAGTATAAAAGTATTCCCTGAGAAATTGCGGTTATTAGTGAGTGTGAACGCGATCCTACTTGTTAAGCTTCTTTGTTCAGTGTCGTAAATTTAACTTGTGCGAAATTAACGTGAGAAAACAATACTCTTTTTGTTATCGCAGCTGTGAATGTGTCCAAATTATTAAACTGGCTTTATTTAGTTTTAAACAACTCGACCGTGCAATATGGGTCGAAAACTTTGTCTAGTCTGTAAAAGTTATGGAGAACATTCATTAGATCCAGGCTTTGTTAATTTTCTCTTCACCTGTTTACTAGCTTTGCGTTATCTAATGTTTGAACAAGAAAATCGTGATAATGGATAAACAAATAATTTCAGACAGAAAAATTTTTTAAAATAATTTAATGATAAATAAAAGGACATAAAACCGATTTTGACATGTGTTTTTAAACTGATGATTCATCACTGCAAAAACAAGGAAAAAGTCATCTCTTGATGATGATTCATCGTTCCATTGTTCTTCAAACCTAATCAAATTCAAATTAAATTCTGCCATTGCTCTTTTTCTCTTGGTAACCAATCACAAGTGAAAAACTTGATGCTTCTTCATTTTGGAAATTAAAAGTGCAAAAATAATAATCATCTTTTCTTGTTCTACATCATTTTGTTAATTTTTTCCTCAGTATATTGCTTTAAGCTGTTTGTTTTATGCTCGAACAACATTTTTAGCGTCTTGTTACAGGTGGCCGTACAGCTAGCGAAATCATCACTTGGTTGGAGAAAAAGACTGGTCCACCAGCCAAAGAACTGACAACTGCTGATGAAATCAAGGAATTCACTACAAAGAAAGACGTCATTGTTGTTGGTTTCTACAAGGACAAAGAATCCGATGCTGCCAAAGCTTTCACTGAGGCTGCACAGGGTATCGATGATATTGAGTTTGGAATTGTACATGACGAGGCTCTTGCTAAAGAGCACAATGTAGAAGGAGATAACGTTGTTCTTTTTAAAAAGGTACTGCTCTATGATTAGTGTTAGTGTTGAAAAACTCTTCTTACCTTCTTCTTTCCTCGCTACTTCTGCAGAACTTTGATCCTGATGACGTAATCCAGTATGGATTTCTATCTTCTTTTTACATTTTGATCACAGATGTGGATAACTGGGTTGTGAGAACTCAAAACCCGAACACCTTTGAAAACAAAAAGTGTTTGCAAGTCTTGCTTCTGAATAACAGAAAATTTTTAAAATTGTAAATCAAATAGGAAAGGTCTTCCAGGTGGAGAAATTTCAGTGTTTGGACTCAGACCAGAAAGTTAAATGTCACTGGATGAGCTAGGGTTTTTTTGCACATTAGTTTGAGCATGAGTCATCTTTCAGCTAGAAGTTTCAAATTTCTGGTCTCGCTTTTTTTGGACATCCTTTCGCTTGTGAAATACAAAGTTATAGTGCTCATTCATGGAATTTGTGGACTAAGATTTGTAACACAATCAGATAATATTATTGTTGGAAGCTTTGTGTTAATTCAAGAAATAACATCTAGGACAATATCTAGTCTATGCTTCCTTGCTAAGTTAGTATTGTCATTGTTCTGATTTTAGTTTGATGACGGACGTAATGACTATGATGGAGAACATAACTCTGAAGATATCATCAAGTTTATCAAGGCCAACCAACTTCCCCTTGTGACAGAATTCAATGATGAGGTACAATACTTACATAAAACTGTGGTCTGCTTTGTTTGAAAAAGTCTGCATTATAGTTCACCAGACTTCAAGTGAACAATGATGAGTCATGCAACACTTGATGCAGCATTGTTAGCAGTTGCTTCATGCTACAGAAACTAGAAGTTATCACTGCTAACCTAATCTTGTCTTTGTTAGAATGCACCCAAGATATTTGGTGGAGACATAAAGAAGCATGTTCTGCTTTTCGCTAGCAAAAAGGCTGATGAGTTCCAGGGCATCCATGATGGATTCTCAGCTGCCGCCAAGGAATTTAAAGGAAAGGTTCTCTTTGTTCTCGTTGATTCTGATATAGAAGATAACAGCCGTATCTCGGAGTTCTTTGGAATTGATGCTAAGGAAATACCAACTGTCCGCCTGATCAACTTGGCAGAGGATGACATGACGAAATATAAACCAGAAACTAAGGAAATTACCTCTGAGAATGTCAAGGCTTTCGTTTCTGATGTTCTTGATGGAAAACTTAAGGTAACTATGTATTTCACTCTGAGTTACCTGATAAGGTAAAATATAGAAACAAAGCTTGCAATTCAATAGTCATTCTGGCAGCAGCCAACCACTAGTTGAACTTACCATAATTTTTTACCTTTGTTTTGTTTCCATTGATGCCATGTGTCATAAATATTATGTAGTTTTTGACCACCAATGTTATAAACCTTCTTTTATCAGGTTTTCTTTGGTTATATTGTCTCATATAATTATTGTTTTCTTTTCAATATTTAGCCACATTTGCTTAGTCAAGAAATTCCAGAAGATTGGGATGCCAAGCCTGTGAAGGTTCTTGTAGGAAAGAATTTTGAGGAAGTAGCTATGGACAAAACTAAAGCTGTTTTTGTTGAATTCTGTAAGGATGGTGAATATTACAAAATGGCATTCTTTGAGCCCCTCTATTGGTATTTCCGAAGAACTCGAAGACACTACAATCACTGCTGAAAAATGAAGATCTCAAGATTGAAGCAAAGATTGGAATATTGACCAATATTATCCTTATTGAGATAAGGATGGAATATTGAGCAATACTTCAGATATAAAGTAAAAAATAAAATGCGCAATTTTAACTTTCCTCGTTATTGTTTAAGCAGTCATTTATTTTGCTTTTCACGAATTTATACAGTAATTTTTGCAGTGAGATCTTTTGGCGGTATATTACACTGACCACACTGTCAGGCAATCCATAAAAGGAAGATCTCCTTTTAAAAAATCAAAGATTTGCGAGAAACAATGCAACAAAAACAAAGTCTTGGGATATCCATAGAGAGGCTCTTTTTTTGTGGGGGGATAACAGTAGTACGTATTTGTTCAGTGTTGTAGGAAGTAAGCCAAACTTCAAAACATTGGCAAGTTTTGGTTGAAAGTGAGAAGGAATATTGGTAGAAATTAATAGGATTTGATATCAATCTACAGTTCCTGGCAATTTTGTTTTCAGTAGCATTTTGTATTAAATTTGTACTTTTAAGTACAGTAAGTTGTCTGTCGTGTGTTCTTTGTTGGATCTTTTTGTTCCTTTCTTTACCTTGACCCTACACAAAACATGATAACTGTTTACTTCTGTCTGAGGAACTAACTAAAATAAACTTTTTGGTTATGTAATTCATGCATATAGAGTATGCGTGCTAAACAAGAGATTGCACTGTAGACCTTCCAAAATAGATCTTGCTACCCATATGGTTGTCTGCTTCTTTGAAGTTTTCTGGGCTTCATAAGTTACCATTCCCCTCTGTTAACTATGGTATAAGACAGTGGTCATTTCTAGGCAAATGGTTGCCTTGTACACTTATTAATTTTTTTTTATCTTTTACAGATGCACCATGGTGTGGTCATTGTAAGAAGTTAGCCCCAATTTGGGATGAACTTGGAGAGAAGTTTAACGACCGTGATGATATTGTTATTGCAAAGATGGACTCCACTGCCAATGAAGTAGAAAGTGTGAAGATCCAAAGCTTTCCTACTCTTAAATATTTCCCTAAAGATAGTGATGAGGTAAGTTTCATAATTACAGTTGACCCCCTACAAAGGACGTTTGTGCAAAAATTTTCCTGTTGATTGATTTTTTTCAAAATTTTTACAGCGGTCAGATAAAAAGTTACTTGTATCAGAAACGAAAAAAAACTGGGGGTCGCCGACTTCATTTCAAAGCCACAGCGTGTGGAAAACTACCCTGATTTTGAAAAATTGCCGCACATAATTCAGCATGGTCTACAGGGGTTCATAGTTAAAAATATCGAAGGCGAGTCAATGGAGGCAAACAATCTTAGTCATATTTTGTAGAAGTGGGTCTGTTGGGTAATTTAAAATTTTACCAACTTTTTCACAAAACAACCCTTCAAGAGGCATTTGAAACTGTCGCACAGATAAACAAAGAGCTGAAAAGAATGGAATTGGATGGTGCATTTTGCAAAAAAATTCAAACTTCTAGTCATTTTCTTCATTATTTATTTTCTTCATTTTTTGCTAATTGGAGAAAATCGGCTATTCTGTGATTCATGCATAACTTCAGGAAAGGTATCACTCTGTACTGCTCCTGTCAGTTTCATGGTTCAAGATCCTAAATGCTATGAAAAAAATAATAATAAAATAGTTAAAAGTAGAAGTGACATCAATTCGGAAACAAAATCAAAGTTGCAGATGGGATTTGAACCCATGACCCTATGTGATCTAGCCAGATGCTCTAACCACTGAGGTTCTGGAGACTCTGGTGAGCAAGGGTGAAATGTGGGTCTTTGACAGGAACTGCATTGCCCAGTTACACGGCCAAATAATGACTTGGCACATATGAACTCATAACTGCATTTGCCCTGGATTACTTTTTGTGGCTTCTTAAAATAAAAAAGTTAATGTAGTAAGTGACATTTCAAGGTAGCTTGTCAGAATACAACTTATAATTAATTATGTTTCTTGGTTGTTCCCTTCCAGATCGTTGATTACAAAGGTGGAAGAACCTTAGAGGATTTAGTCAAATTTGTTGAAGCTGATGGTAAAGCTGGAAATGAAGAGCCTCAGGAAGGTGAAGAACCAACCCCAGAAGAAGAAGGTGCAGAGGGCGAAGCAGAGGAGGAAACTGACGCAACTGATGAAGGCGAAGCAACGGAGGCAACCAAGGATGAGCTGTAAAATGGCACATCTGCTCTCGAATTCTAGTCACAGAAGATTTCTTATATGGATAAGAATTAAATGAAACACTTTGGGAAAGCAGGGGTGTAGCTAAATCAATTTTTTAACTGGTGATTGAAGTCTCTCTGGGGCTCATATCTGCCTGTGGGTTAATGCTGTCACAGACTTGAAATTCACCAGCAACCAACACTAAGCTACACTTCTGCATGAGTGCCTCCTATTTCTCTTAGCCGATATAAGGACATTCTTTGGCCTGTAGTTCCTTCTCAAAAAGTTTCCAGTTAGGGTAAAACGTTTTAAACTTATTAAGCCTCCTTTACTACTGTAGGTTTTCAAAATTTTTGAAAGTGTGATGTCAGTCACAGCACTCAAATGGACTGTCCACCACAAGGCTTATAAATTGTTCCACTTTTATTTATAGCATTCATCGGTGTGAAGGTTTACTTCAAGAGAAAAATCTGAAAAAGAAAAAGCTTTCAAATAAAATTCTTATCATTAAAATAATTTCTTGTCATGGTGATTACTTTATTTTGGGGTAGCTTTCCTTCTGATGCCTATCCACACTGATGTAAACAACAACAACAACAACAAAAATAACAAAACACTTAACTCCCATTAGTAGGGTGATACTAAAACAATTAGACCCTTCGCCCTCAAGGGCCACGGGTCAATAGCCCATATGGCTTCGCCTCATGGGCTATTGACCCGTCGCCCTTGTGGGCTATGGGTCTAATTGTTAATTAGTCCTGAGTGATAAAATGCAGACATCCATACAACTGAAGACCATGCAATAAGACTTCAAGTTCATCCCTTGTGTTCATGTGTCCATGTGTCCATGTGTCCCGAGAGTAATTTGGTCACCACACTGTATAGACTTAAGTTTTGCATTTCACCAGAAAATTTTAAACAGAAATGTCTTTTACTGACTGTTGGCTTGGCCCCACTGGGGTATGTACCTAGTAAGTGTCTAAATTTTGGTTAAAATAGAAGGCTGAAGCAGGGAATTAGTGTGTGTGACTTATTGTAAGGGTGCTGTCATTTTTAATTCTTAATTTCAACATCGTTAGTTTCTTCGCACCAGTTGATTACTATTAAGCTTCTCGTTCATGTGATTTTTGTTTGAAAACAGAAGTGATTACCATGTCTGAATATTTTCAATGAGTTATTGCTATTTGTTATTAAAGGAGCTCAGTCTCGGTGTTTTTTCTTTTCTTTTTTTTTATTTTGTTTTTTGGCCACATACAAAATCTCCTTTAAATGGAAGGAAACCTGAAAATAATAGTTTACTAAGGTAGAAAAACATCAAAGAGATAGTAATAGACCATAAAGGAACAAGGATGGCAAAGATTGACACGGATTGCAAACGACGAATTTGAAAAATTTAGGCTAAACTTTTCAAAATGTGTAAACCGTGACAGAGCCCCTTTAAACTGAGCTTCGACGTTCTTTTAAAAAAATTATAGGGAAAAAGTGTCTATGGTTCTGTAGTAAATCCATACTGTCTATACAGTCAAACAGTTGAGATGATTTGGCTTTCGCAAATCCTGAATGTTTCAAACAACAACAACATTTCTACTCCCAAAAAAAGTATGTGATCATTTTTAGGATAGGGTGATCTTGTCATAAGGAAATTCCATTCAGCACAGTTTTGATCACTTTCCATTAATGAAGTCACTCCTGAAGAGATCATTTGTGTAACTTAATCAGTCGCGGATCTAGGAAAAAGGGTGACTGATTACGAAACAATGAGCGTCAAAGGTGCAAGCTTCCAGTGGACTCCGGGACATGCTCCACTGGAATTGTTTTGGATTTTAACTCCCTAAAGTTCCCTTTTCTGGGTTTCTGAGTCTTTTGAAAAATCTGACCGATTTCCGTAAAACGGTATGGATCCGCGCCTGTTAAATTGCTACAAAAATACCTTCCGAACGTTGTGGACTGTGAGCAAGAGCTGCAGGAGGAATGTCGTCACGCGGCGTTGCGTGACAAAGCTGATATGCAGGCGTCAGTCAGATCGTCTAAAAAACAGTTAGAAAACGTACATCACGTTTAAAAAAAATGAAAAGAAAAACAATCAAGTGAAGGTTTTCCCAAGTCCTGCAAACTGAGTTTTTGCTGTTCAGTAAACAGACTGACTTGCGCGCGCGAGGACGGTCAGTGAAGTGAATTTTTTCCCTCTATCGACAACTGAACCTTGGTTTGTGATTTCTTAAACGTAGCACAAATAATAATTCTTCTGAGAGAATCTCATGTCGAAAACAAATATTTAATATACGGACCAAAGATTTGAAGATTCGTGTACCACTATAGTCGTGGCACGGTGCCATAGCGTATGGGTTCTTCCTGTAAGGGATACGTTTTTCGATAGCTACACTGCACCTCTTTTCTATATACCTCCAATGGGGAAGCCTATGTATCTTTTCCACTATAAGCCATTAGGTAAATTGCTCGAGATATTTTGAAACAAACCGGCCTTTTAATATCCAGTTCTGAAGTTCAGCTGGTAAAATCCCTACCCTTTTATATACCTCTCTGAGAAAGGTACCAGTTTTGGGCCGCTGAAGTCCCGGGACAAGAACCTAGGGTACCACTTTGCACCATGCACCAGAGCCAACCTCGTTTCCACATTCCTTTTTCTTCACTCCTAAGAGACCTGGGAACGAGGTTGCTCCCCCGGGGGGTACTCTCTTATTTGGGCTATACAGGGACGTGCCGCTGGACAGGGTATGGTTTTTTGGCCTCATTGTCCTAAACAGGGTATACAATTTGACTCGCCTCTGTCCCAAACAGGTTCAGAACCTGTCCTAAACAGGGTATGGTATTACGAGCCGAGAGACGTTAACCGGCCATTGCAAGGTCATCAATCACCATCAGATCATTGTCGGTATCCTGTCGGTATCCTTTAATATAAATTATTTTTCCACTTATCAGTACTATAACAAGCGCGCATTGACAGAATAGATCGTACCGGTAGATCTAGTTTCTTTGTGTTTCTTTGTCCTACACAGGGTGGGGTTTTTAGAGTATTTTTGTTTTAAACAGGGTCAGGATTATAAACCCTCAGCGGCACCCCTATACCCAAACATGGGTCAAGTACCCCCCCCCCCACATCTCCCCCCTGGAGCTGAGTGCTGTGCGCTTTTTTGTTGTCGTTTCAAGACTTTGAAATACTTGTTCAGGATTTACATCAACATAGCAATTAAGAAATATAATCAGGGTTTTTTGATTTAACACGATATTACTTTCAATCTACGCAGCTCCAAGTTGTCGTCAAACTCGCCGGGCGCGGCGCCCACTGCTAACCGCGGTCAGCGGCTTTGGTTTCCAATCTTTCGAGGTCGTGCTCGATCGTAAAAACTTGGCGATGAAAATAGCCACAAAATAAATTTCTTTCTCTCTTTGTTTTGCTTCGTTGTATTGAGTCCCTGGGTCAAATCAGAATAACTCATTCTATCGCGTTTTGATGGGCTTTGATCGTGCGAGTGAAGGAAGTCCGTGCCAATAACAGTTTATACTTCATGTAGTGTTCACGACAAGCCATTCGAGATTAGCCATTCAAATTTTTATTTCATTCTAGCTGCCCGTAGTCCTCCTTCCTATTTTCTCCCGAAAAGGTAATGGTGGTGGTAAAAACCTGTGGTAGTTCAACAAAACACGTGACGGATGTGTGACGGGGCGTGACGTACTTCTGATCAGATTTATAACGACTTGGCGCCTGCGACTGGCCGATAGTGGATGACACAGCAACAAATATCTTGTAAGTTATTTTTTGTACAACCTAACACATGCTACCATGCGAGCAGAGTCTCTGCATACAGTTCTTTGTTCAAAGAAAAAGCTTAAACTTGAGATTTCTTATTTGTCTTATTTGTATGTCCACATGACACTTTGCAAATATGTTTTGGAATTCAGGTCCAAAAAATACGGAAACTGAAAATTAAAGCAGAAAGAGTAGCCAACCATTGGCTCGTCACGCAATCTTTGGGTGCCTGTTTTTGTAAGGCATATTCGCCAGCGCACTTTGTATCTTTGCTACACAGAAGCAAATTGTTTCCCATTTTATCAGAGAAACCATTTCAACATAAACATTGTCATTGTTTCCTTTGATTACTGGAAAATTATTTCTACGTTACCAAGAAAGCAATGTGCTTCAGACGTATCCTGTAGATAGAAAGACGTCTTTCATTGGTCACTTTGCATACTCGATATTTCAGAGATTGTGATTGGTCTTGCTGATCACGCATTTGACGTCACGGGGTGGTTCTCTTTACGAAGAAACAGGCCAAGTCGTGAAGGCATCAGGAAATATCCACATTTTTTAGTTTGTGTATCAAAATTTACCATGGCGGACCCTGCGGAAGAAGTTCCAGCTGCAGTAGATGATGAAGAACCAGAAGAGACCCCTGGTTATAAGGCACCAGCTCAAAAAACTCTGGATGAAATTAAAAATTTAGACGCGGATGATGAATCTCTGGTGAAGTACAAGGAGCAACTTCTTGGAGCTGCTGCCGCCGCCAGTGGTAAGTTAAAAGTGATCAGCTGACATTGTTCGTTTAAGGCACAAATGTTCTCACGGATCCTTAAAGACCTCTTGCCAGCATATATTTTGTTATTATTATTTTTCAGCTGGCGATGATGGCGGACCCAACGTGCGGGTTTTAAAGTTGACGGTGCTTGTCGAAGGTCGGGACGATATCGAACTCGATCTTAGCGGTGTGTATCAAAATTTAGCACATCTTGTCATTAAAATTTGTTTGCCTTTCCCATCTTGCAACAGCTTTGAAATTTAGCTTTCTTACTGCCATCTGTTGTCTTGATTTTTTGTTGGTCAATAAACCACACCGTGCGTGACAACTTACACAGTTCAAATCGAACTAGCAGAAGTACTGAACGAACGGAAGGTAGTGAATTGTTTTGATCATCTGGAGTTCACTGCATGGTAATCTCTACTCGTTTTATAGGAGACCTAGCCACTCTTAAAGACAAGCCTGTAACTTTCAAGGAGGGAACAAGTTATAGACTTAAAATAACGTTTAAGGTGAGACTTAAATTCCTGAGTTTCGATGTGGAATTAATGCAAAAGTAATCTTAATTTTAAGTTTTTGTTGTCCATTTTATTGAGATTATCAATTAAGTTATTGTAAAAATAAGATGGGAAAATTGACCTTCGTATTAACCTTTTATTTTGAAATTACTTCCTTTCCAGTCTCGCTGTTGCTTTTGTTGTGTCTTTGGTTTCGACGTTACCTTTGGGATATATTGGATGGCCATAGTTAATTGCTTTGTTTAAATGATGTTTTACAACACTGCAGTTAATTAAGCTCAAATTAAGCTCGAATTGACAAAATGTTTAAAGAGAGGCTTTTTAATTTTTGTGCCTACTTACTTGAAAACGAAATAAATTTAAGATTTTCATATTGTTAATATTGCTGCTGTGCTCGAGAAACTGTTTAATGTGTTTGAATTGTCGTCGAAGACCAAATGTGTAGTTCGAGAAAATATCCATACCTCCCCCACAGAAGGAATTTTATATAAGACCCCCACCCTTTCAGGAATTCCAATTAATCTTCATACATTTGTTTAAATTTTTTGCTATTACAGACCCTCCCACCCCACCCCCAGGAAATTCCAATCCCCTCTGTTTGGGGGAGTATCAATATTTTCTGGATCAGCACAATATGATTGAGAGATATGCATAGAAAGATTAGGGCTAGTGTAAGAAATGTGTTGTTATGAATGTTGTTTGTCTGTTTCTAGCATCATGTCTGTGTTATTGGACAACATACCTTATTCACATGCAACGATTATAACTGGACAGTAACAGATACACTGAAGTAGGGCAGGTTACCTGAACAGGGCATCTGAACTTCCCCCTCACTGTACTCTTGAAATCCAGTTCTTACCCCTTCCTTGGTGGGTGTAGACTGCAAAACAGTATCGCAGGCGGTATTCGAGCAAAAGGTCTGGAGCGAGTATAGGCTCGCAAGCTTTACGCGCGAGGATCATGCTTACAGTGCTTTGCGCCTTCTAAATAGGGAAGAAAACACAAATGTTTTGCAGTCTATGGTGGTCCCACCTCCTGAACATGTAACCTTCTAGAAAGGCACTCTTATGGTTTTGCACTCACTCCTTCCAGCAAATGTCTCATGTTCCAAACAAATCGCACATTCCTTTCTCTCCATTCGCAAATAGTAGTGGGATATCATGTGGAGATTACTACAGAGGCAATCGGCGCCAGTCATCTTCTAACAAAAAGCCAATCACTAGCTTAAGGGGCTCTCTTCAGGTGATAACTATGAACTGTACTCCTGTGGGTCACATTAAAATCTGTGGCAATTCTTTCAAAATAAAGGCACAATTCCTAACTTGGTTTGAGATTGTACTAAGATTTAGGAATACATCATCTTTTTCACTGTGAAATACACTACAGCTTCTTGCAGATAGTTTGCATGGACTATTCCATGTCTCACACAGTCATTCAAAAGCCACACTTAGTGTGGCAGGCCACGCTTCAAAATTTTTCAAGGTCCAAAGTACTCTTCCAGGATTTGGAAGTGTGCTGTAATAATTACTGGTCTATGTAAATAGCTGTTGGTTTCAGCAGATATTAGTGTGGGAGGAAAGAATGCATGATATGAGCCCAAAAGGCAGCTGTGTAGGAGGCTTACACATCTTGGTGATTTTTCTATTTCATGTTGTTGCACAGTATTGGTTCCCTTAACCATGGAAATCCCACTTCCTGTCCTTTTATCTCCTGTTCCCCATAGAAATCCTGCTGTTGTCCCCCATCACTTCACCAGCAACAGCAGTTTTCTCTATTTATTGGTCTGAAAGCAAACTGAACTGAACAGCATACCAATCTTCTTGGGTGCAATACTACCATAAGTGGAATGTTTGGTACATTTAAGGTCATAGATAATTCATGAGTTACGTCAAAATTAAGTTTTCATCTCTGTACTTGACAATCGCTGTACCTTTCTGCATCTGCTAGTTACTAGCAAACTGTGATAGATTACGGCTTACAGATAACAAACTTTAAAAATATAATGATAATTTAAAGATCAGCTCAGTTTAGCATGTAACTGAGGCAGTTGCAAAATTAAAGCCTGAAAAAAAATTCGGGCTTAAAGAGGATTGGAACTCGAGACTTCTGTGATACTGGTGCAGTGCCCTTTCCAACTGAGCTATTCAACCAACTGGGAGGTAGTCACGTTGTGAGTTTGCCAGTGAAGATACAATGTATGCAAGGAAATATATGAAAGATCATATATTTGAACTGCAGGATAAAGAAATAAAGCTTGTCGCATTTTTGTATGCAACTTATAAATCCAATTTTGTCTAGATGTGCCATGACATAGTTCCAGACTTTATCATTGTGTCTATTGTCAGTGTAGTGATATGAACAGGTTGATTGCACTCAGTTAACATGGCTGTTTTTGTTTAGGTCGTGCGAGAAATTGTGGCTGGTCTTAAATTTCATCAAGTGTTGTACAGGAAAGGAATACGAGGTAAAACAAACATATAACCATAAAAAAAATATTTATATGGTTAATTAATATTGTTGTGTTAAATAGTTAGAGCATGGAGTGCACACTGCAAGCCCTAGGATTTCAAATTTCATTTTTAACACTTTTTTGGTTCTGCGTCCAGTGATCGTGGGAAACGATTGGTAACAGAAAATTTTTGTGACAAAATTTCATGCTTGATTTGGGCACAAATAAAAGAAAACAAAAATAAAATTGTGAATGGAGAAGGAAATGAAACGAACGTTATATAAACTTATATGTACTCAGTGGCATGTATCTTGCCTTACCCAGTTTATAAATGAAGTGATGTTCTCCGTGTCAGTTTCAAAATCAGTGCAAAATTACCTCTTCCCGAATGTTTTTTTCAAATTTCATACTTCCTCTTCTTCCTCTACTTCCTCTTCTTCGCAGTGGATGCCGCTCCACGTGCAAACTCCACCCCATGGTTCCCCTCGATAACTTCACCCTTTCACCCCGTGGTTCACCCTACATCAGCCAGTTGTCTGCCACCTTAATTCCATCCCAGACTACATTGCACAGTGTGTGCAATGCAGTCTGGGATGGATACAAGACGCAGACAGGTGACTTGAAACAACGTTTCAGCTTCATTCATAATCAGAGTAATAATCAAATGAATTGCTCTACTTGTTGAGAATTAGAACGGAAAGAAAAAAAATTTGTATCAAATTGTGGCAACGCTGAAGATATTCGTGGCAAATGGTTTTTCAGTTCCGTTTTTTCTGAATCATGGTAATGACACCGTACCAGAAATGATCATTAGCGTGAAATCCTAGGGCTTGCAATGGTCAATACATTGGAGCTTGAATTGAGAGGTGTGGGTTCTCGCACCTTCCCTGATTAAGGGTCATTGTACTGTGTTCTCATGCAAGATGGTTCACTTTCACAGACTGGCAAAATGCTGGGAGTATGTTATTATTACCCAGTGATGAATAGGATCCTATCTCTGGAGGTTGGAGACATGGTGCCTGACAGGGTGTGAATTTTGGCCTTGCTGCATTCAGCACGTTATGTGCACCTTCAGGGTTCTCCTGAAAATTGAAATGAAGCAGAAAATGAATTGTAGCTGGCTCTGAACATGCAGAACCTCCAAAAAAAAAAAAAAATCAAAAATGACTATGAGCCACTGAACGCGGAAAGTGAATTATGAAAGGGTGTTGAGGCCACCATACTGATTTCGTCATAATCCATTGGTCAGTGGTTCCACCTCTAGGCAATCTCTCCTGTTTGCAGGACTCAAAAAAATGTTTTAATAATCCAGCTTGCCCTTTAGGCAAGTAACTCTCAAATTTTGCTTGCCCAGGTTTTCAAACTCATTAATAATTCATGACCCAAAAATGGAAGTCATTCACTGGCATGTTGGAATGCAATAAACCTGCCTGATTTGTTTACAGTCTTCTTAGTGTTGAACACTTTCTTGTTCATGTACTTGCTTGCTATTTCCTGAATTACCTGCTGAGTTTCTTTGTTTTTGTACAAAAATCCTTCGAATCAATGTTTTCAATCTGTAGAAGGTCATGTTCAACACCTTGAATGTTAAATTGCATCTAGCCTAAGTAAGCTGAAAAATTACAAAAATTGTTTTGAAGAGAAGCGCGTAAAATTAAAAACAATTTGGCTTCTTCGTGTCAGTTTCATTTGGACACAGGCACAGTGTTGACTTTGTTAAGCCAGCAAATGAATATGTTGGAAAAACGTTTCAGTGAGTGAAAATGTCTTCATTTGAATAAAAACTATTTTATGTCCAGGAACACCGAAAGTTTTTTGATGACTTAATTACTAATTTCTTTTCAAATAATATTAATAATTTCAGCAGCAACCAAGTACACTATTTCTACCAGAAAACTTGTATGTTTTGCCGATGAGATTTGCCACAAGGAGTTAGCTCAGTGGATTTGTTCATTAAAAATGTTGGTGAGGGCTTCATTTTTGCTGTAGAAATATACAGCTTCTTTTCATGTACAGCTTCTACAGCTGTACACCTGGGTGGAGAGACGCACTGTGAGAGTAAAGTGTCTTGCCCAAGAACATGACGCAATGTCCTCAACCAGGGCTCAAACCCGAACCGCTCAATCCAGAGCTGAGGGCACTAACCATGAGGCCACTGCAATCCAGAGTACCGTTGTTAAATTATAACTACATGTAAGGCCTGTTCCAAATGCTGCTCTATTCATGCGCCAAACCTAACTGATGAGTTAAGTACGGCAGAAGAGCGGCATTTGGATCATTTTGGTTCGGCAGGTTAGGTTTGGAGTGGCAAACAACTGTAAATTCACCAGGATCTGCCAGGATCTGCAGCTGGAGCGATGGCTGATTTATACAGCATTTTTCCCATGTGCAGAACCTAAATTATACATAAATATCTGTTATGTGTTTTTCATATAACAGCACTTGTCATTGGCACAGCTGATGATGATGATGCATGATGATGCACAGCTCAGAGCATGAATCAATTGTCTTTCAACATTTGCAATGCAAAAGGCAAAGTATAGTTAACTTTGCACACGCTATGAACTTGCATCAGTCAATTATGATGTGTGTAAACTTATACTGTGTTTATGTAATGGTGCAGCTTTGCTAGCTGCTATAATGCTCCTTGATTAATGAATGACTGGTTTTGTTTCAGTTGTAAAGAACTCCTTAATGGTGGGAAGTTATGGCCCCAAAGCTGAACCTCACGAATATATAACACCAGTTGACGAAGCTCCCAAAGGGATGATCGCTCGTGGTCATTACACAGCAAAGAGCAAGTTTTTAGATGATGATAAAAATGTCCATCTTGAATGGGAATGGTCATTTGACATCAAGAAAGACTGGGAATAGCATGCTTTTCACAAGTCAAGATGTAGTTCAATGTTTTTTGTGACTGTACTGTAGAAGGCCAATCTTTTAGGTTGGATTGCAAAGCTCTGCAAAGTCACCAAGGTGATAATGTTTGAGTAACAGTAACAACGAAAAAATATTAAATGACTGTATAAAGCTGTTTTCAACTATGTCGTGTAGCTTGCCCATTCTCTGCTTGCTTCAGTGAATCCAGTAGTGATCAAAGTAAAATTTCTCCCTCTATTTTCAATACTTCCCAAGGATACAAGTAATGTGATTAATAAAAAATAATAAAGTAAATGACATTGTCTTGATGTATTGCCATATTTTCAGAACAAACATTAAACCTATGGAAGAATTAATGTTTTAATCATGCCTAGAGCACTTGATGTGCCCAAAGAACATCTGTGTAGGAGGCTAATGCTTCTAGGAATCCCATTGTTGATCATTTTCAGTAGTCCTTGAACAGAGACAAAGTCAAAGTCAGTAAACGGTTATAATTATTATTACTGTCAATTATTTAACAGGCCTCTGAGGAATAAAAAAATTGATTGAGGTCACACCCGTGGGTTTTGGTGCGCCAGTTTCAATTTTTCTTTCACATTTTTTACCTCCTATCACCATGGTAACAAGGACTTAACGTGGGTATTTGGACGTATGGGTGCAGTCTTGTTTTGAGGATATTTCGGTTATTTTCCGGCGTTTTGAAGAAAACAGCCGATTTCTAGAACTACAGCAAAATAGATGATCACAATTCCAAGCCCGCTGATCCCCCCCGGGGGGCATTTAAAGGACATTTGGCATTTTGTTTTCGGAAGGTGGCAAATGCCCCACCGTGGAGCAGTCGGGGCATACAAAATCCCCATAGTGGGGCCGTGAGAAAAGTGCAAATGCCCTATCTAGGGGATAGCGTCAAAATTATTGCCCCTGTAGGATTGTGGCCCAGAGGCCAAAGCCTGAGGATGCATTGATAGTACTTCCCGCGTATAAAGAAGTAATGAAATATCGGTAGCGTCTGTAGTATGCAGATCGATCCCGATTTGAAGAAAGTAAGCGCCCATGGTGGTGTTCCTGGTTAATTTTTCGTGAAGTCGAGCTAAGACACTCCAATATGGCATCGTGAATACATTACTTACAAATTTAAACTTGATAGTCCCCAATCCACCTCTGAACAATTTCTGTTAGAATCTTCCAATACAGGAAAAACAATTGACCCAAGAAAAACAATGAGCCTCAACTCAATGTCCCAAACAGACAAGTACAACGGAGCATGCGTGTACGAAATTGCTTCGCCTCTTTAAATACAGGTATTCCCCGCCTCTCCCCACCCGCCAGCAATTTTGACGGCCATTCCGTCAGACGTTGGAATTTCATTGTTGATTAAACGAATTCATACTCCTTATTCCAAAATGGCGGCCAATCTATTATTCTTTTGTTTGCATGTTAATTGGCCCTCTTGCCTCATTTTCACTTCAAAATTCTTTTGTATATTGTACATGTTGACGAGGCAAAGAGGGCTAATTACCATGTAAACAAAAGAATAATAAACTAGCTACCATTTTGGAACAACGTGTATTGGCACCCTGTTCATTGTTCAAGCTTACTGAGCTATTTAAATATTTTCCTAGCTGTGTCGAGTTTTGATCATCAGTTAAGTCTTCACATTGTAGTGGAAAATATTTGAAATAAGATCACATAAGATTTCATCGCAATTTCCGCAGATTTCCGACATACTATTTGCTTACCCAACAAAAAGCTGAAAAATCGATCTGTGACAAGGCCCCAAAACGAAAAAAGGTGTACACAGATTGCAAAACTTTGTCCGGAACTTTCTTGCCTTCTTGCGGTTCGAAATCGCTAACATCTGAAAATTTTACAGTGCACGATCAAAAGTAATTCTTTCTAGCTTAGTTTCCGGCATTGCAGTCTTCAGTGGATTTTTGTACCGGCGAAATGAAAGAAAGTCAAGAAATCCAACTGTCCAATAACTGTTTATGCGAAATTTGGGGGGCGTATTAGAATTTGTATATGTGTTTCGATCAATCCCACGAGAACGAGAAGAACGCCTTCGTTGAAATGTATTTTTCTCCACTGAGTTCGTTTGATATCAACTGTCCTGCCCTTTATTTACATAAAATGGCGGAATAGGGCACGCGTACAATATTGAATACCCATATAATAATCGTAAACCCCAAAATCCCACCGATCAGACATCTTAATCTACTTAACTCCTAAAAATACCTCTTGGAACAAGCGCGAGTCGTCCAAAAAGCATAAAAATGCAGGAGGAACATTTTCCCCTCGCTAGAAATTACCATGTCGCGAGCCTGATTGAAGAAGTTTATATGTCAATCGATCTTATAGTGGAATGCAAAAAATGCAATTCTTGCAAAGCAAACATTTCGCGTGCAAATTTTGTTTATCTTTGACTGTCATAAAACCCTTAAATTGAATCTTAAATTTTTCACCGAAAAAAGATTACAGGCTTTACATACAATGCTATTTTTTGCAGACAAAGCGGCGTTTTAAAAATTAAACAGTTGTTTGTGTCTGCTAACTTGTCATACTTGACAGTTACTTTATATATCCATGTTCATCACACTGCTACAAATCTTTTTTTGACATCGGTTCTGCGAATTTTGTGGTATGCACGTTCAGGGGGCAGGGGGTTATTCAGGTACATCAGCTATGACTGGGAGTTGTAAATCAGGCCAAATTGTTGGCCTAAATCCACAGAACATAGCCTGAAGAAATGTTCCAATTGTTTGATGTGAAACGTGAAGGTGGGCAGAGAAACCTAGGTTGCACCTTTTTTTAACTCTCCTCAAAATTAAAATCCTTACAAACATCGCCAGAAAACGTCATTACAAATTTTCTTTGAACAATAACAGTCCTTCAAACTGAAAATAGGTCTTGGCATCTCCCTGTCACTGTTATACGTACATGGGTATTCTCCTCGGGACATCAAGATTATAAAGTGATCAACGTTTCCATCATTCTCGTCAGCCGTCTTTTGGACAATGGATTGTTGCACTGAGCCCGGAGGTGGTGGTGGGGGGGGNGGGGTACTTCCAGAAAAATCTTGTGGGGGTGTGCGGCCCGCCTCCCAAAACCCTTACTCAATTTAAGACCAAAATCTGCGATTTTCCCTGCCCTATTCATGACCTGACCAAAAAGTTGATACTCTATTTAAGACCAGTCCCTTAAATCAATTCCCTGTTTCAGAACTGCCTTATAATTAGTTACCTACAAGTAGTTCAGACCGATATTAAGGCATTGTGGAGGGCTTTTGCTGATGTTCTTATTGATAACGATGGAAAAGTAGCTTCTCCTAATAAACATACCGAATTCAAGACTAGAGTGCAAAAACCATACCCTATATTTAAGACCAAAATAGCCAAAATAGATACCTATCTTATGGCCAAAACGGCTAAAACCATACCCTTTGGGGCCGCACATACCTATATAGGCCATAAGCCACATAAGGGAGTACCCCCACCCCCCGGCACTGAAGCGAGAAATTAGGCTTTCTGTTTATACTCGTACTTTAGTTGAAAACTGAGGGACTGGGGTTCAATACAGATCATTGACTGGCGCTTGCAATCAATCCATAATTTAGTCCTTTTAGCTCCACCTGGCAACATGTTTAAAATAGCAAAAAAACCTAAAATGGCAGAATAAAGGACAAAGAGAAAAGATAAACATTAAAAAAAAAAATTTCCGGCTAAATCCTTCGTGAAAAACAAAAGTTGTCAGGAAATCGTTTCCGGCTCAAGTCTGGAGCGTAAAGGGCAACATGGCCGTAACAGTGGACAGTCTGTGGACCTCGGTGAAGTTTTCATTCATTGATGATTTGTTGAAATTTTGATGCTTGTTATTGCTATTAAGTTTTGGAATGTACTATCCGAGTTGTATATTACACACAGGGCAAAGTGCTGTAATTGCGTTTCCCATATACAATTAATCGAATAGTCTAAATACCTTTTTGACATTCCTTTGTCTGTATTTGCTCGGGTTTAACGTATCAATCCCTGGCCAGCCCGATTTACGGAGATTACTGAAATTAGCTTCAGCACAGAATGTAGTTTGTCAATAAAGGAATAAGCACCTTTATGTTGACCTAAAATACTAAAAAAAAAACATGTTTTTAGAGGAGCGCTAAAGCCCGATTCCCAAAATTCTACCCTCAAATAAAAGTAATTGAACACCATAGTTAATGGAATAATGTTTGCACTGTTATTTGAAGCACTTGGTGCAATACCGGATAGTTGAACTGCAGTTCTTTAAGTGGCTGTAAATTTGTAAACATTCAATTATCACCGCAAACGCTGCACTCGAAAATTCTAGCAGATCCAAGAATATGAAAACATCGTCCAAATCTTTTTGGTCGCGTGCAGCTCTGTGATGGTTGTGCAGAATTTCTTTCGCGGAAATACCTCGCTCGGCGGATTTCCCGCGCAGATCGGCTATCAGCAGATTAACTGCGGCGGCCAATAAAAAGCCAGCGTTCCCACGCCTTGTCAAGTTTGATTGACCAATAGAAAACTTATCCAAACAATTACAGATTGTCCATTGATCTGTCAGTCCCTGACGCTAAGTTGCCCAGGGGTGTCACAGATACTTCATCGGCTAAATTTCACTGAATGAATTAAATTCTGGAGACCGAGGCTCTGCAGCGATTTTCCTCCCGATTCTTCGACTGAAGCCCACACCTGGATCAGGTTCTCTTTGAATAACTTCTTGATTGCTTTGTTACTTGGCGCCTAAACTCCATCATTCGGCTGAAATTTTCCCGCGTTCAAATTGAGGTAAGTGAAAGTCATTTATAAAACAACTGTTCACTTTACTGTCTTCGTATTTGTCTAAGACTCTTGGAACGATTTTCAAGAAAACCGGCGTAATTTCGTGTCCTTAACTGTTTTTACATGACATTTTCAATTATCACCGCATATTCCCGTTCGATTTATCGTTAAACAGGACGATTTATATTCAATTATCTGCTTCGAGTATATAAGAAGAAAAAATGTTTAGTCTTCGTAGCACGCGAATGGGCCGCATGTTTTTGTTATTGTTCGTGTCAGGAGCTCTGTTTACGTATGTACTGGATTTTTCAGGCCCGTCTGTTCTCCCAGGCACTTTACAACGCACACAGATGTAAGTGTCAACGTTATCTTGCAATTTATATCAATTGGCAATATTTTTTTTTTCGCCGTGTGTTGTTCTTGACCGGCGATGTTTTTATTTCTACAGCAATAAATAACAGCGAACGACAAGCCAACAGTTTCTCGTTAGAGTTCTGAAAAGTAAATCCACCCGGTTAGTTAGCGAATCAGAAAATGTACGATTTTCGTTTTGTGTCGGAAATATTTTTGTGCATTCGGGGTGGAAACGTCTGGGGTCAATAAGGTTATTTGCACCTTTAGCAGCCACTTTGTAGAGGCCACTTAAAATATCTTTCAATCAACGCCGTTTGTTCTAGGTACAGATACTAGATGTGACGCTCTCAATGAATGGAAGGCGTTATGCGTGACCAGATTGCGTGACCTGAAACGGCAAAATGGAATATTAACCGATTTAATAAATTATAAATACAATTGAGAAGCATAAGAATACATATTTTAAGTGGATTGAGTTGCAAGTCATACACTGTTGAAGATAAAGCTACGATATGGGGGGATTTTCTTTGTTTTACTCTTATCCCAAACATGGTGTTATTTTAGATCCAACTTAACTAGAACATTCCTGTGGAGAACTTAATCAGTTGTCATTACCTCCTGTCAGCACTTACTTAGTGCATACTTCTGTCTATTTTAGTCGGGATATCAGAACTTAGTATTTACATAAATCCATAGACCCTTTCCATAAATGGCTGCCAATTTGAAATTCTTTTGCACGTATTAAAGGATCTCAGTCACAGTATTTTGAGTTATTTTGGGGACGTACAAAATTGCCTTTAAATTGAAGGTAACCTGGAAATAAAAGTCTACTAAGATAGAAAATCACCAAAGAGATAATAGTAGACAATAGTAAACCATAAGGGAACAAGGATGGTTAGGGATAGAGAAGATTAACCCGGATTGCAAATCACGAACTTAAAAAATTATGACCTGGCCTTTGTATGGCAGCGAGGCTAGAGTTGACCTTGTTTTGACACAGACCTCACTGCTTTTGTCATGTAAATGCACCTAGTTAGCATCAGAACAACTTGTTTTACACAACAAAAGAAGTGAGGTCTGTATCAAAACAAGGTCAACTCTAGCCTCGCTACGATACAAAGGCCAGGTCACTGAGCAGACAACTGTAAAATGGTCTATTGGCAGCCATTTTTGAAACAACATTACTTATTCACTGGTCTTGATTCTTCCTAGTCTTTGTGAACGACCAAGCGAGCTCAATCAGGATAAGTATCAACTATGAGTGACAACATTGGACAAGCGCTCTCCTACATAGCCTCAGCTAATCAAGAACTCAGACAACAGCACACCGAAGAAGCTGTCATTCAGCTCTGCAAGGGGTATGCCTTGGAGCCGGGCCTTGTCAAGGATCACCTGGTCACCTTGCCGCACAACACCCTACGAACTGTACTTTGTACCTTGGAGGACTGGTGCATATGTGGGGGCGACTCGGCGCACCTGTTATTGAATTCAGAAATAACGCTGTCTCTTGAACAAATCTGCGACCTAATCACGTCTCCTGGTCTGCGTCCAGACAGCAGCGTGGCATGGTCGACGAAGTTAAGATCGCAAATGCGAAGCAAAAGTTATCCGGAAGCCGTAACGACATGCTTTGAGGCGGTGAAAGTGTTTTCCAATCTTAGCGATGTGGTTTTCTTCCTGGTTCATCGAGCAATGGCCTACCTATTCTTGCACGAAAAAAGCTACGCAGTGAAGGATTTTATCGCTGCGTGTGACAGGGACTTCGACACTGGTTTAGCCTGCATCAAAGAAACAGGAAATAAACTCCTCCCTGCCATATTGGAAGCGCTATACGACGCAATTGCCACACTGGCCAAAAAGTCGACGAGCTTCAGTGTAGAAGACAGATTCCTGTTAATCAAAATTGACCGCATCGTTGTAGGCTTGAATCCGGAGGATTCTTCTACGCTTGGGGACTGCGCCGGTCACATGATCAAACTGAATCAGTTCAAGGAAGCAGTGGTCCTACTGTCGGATGGAATAGACCATGTGACGTCATCTGGGAATCGGGAGAAAGTGGAAGCAGTGGAGCTGTTTCTTCAAAGAGCTCAGTGCTACTTAGCTCTGAAGGAAACTGAGTCCGCCCTGAATGACTATCTCTGTGCGGCCGCCATTGATGAAGATGTTACCCAAATCTACATCCTTGCGTCACCACACAAGCATCAAAGTAGCATAGCGGCTCTCTCAAAGCAACTTGCCTCTGAGCTTCTCACTCGCTTCCGTCTTAAAGTCAAGCTGACCAGCTCATGCTCAGTTGATACTAAAATTACCGCTGACAGCCTTGATAGAGCAGCGCAGATGTATCGGCTCTTGTATCTTATGGACAGCAGTAACGTGGACGCGTTATTGAACGCGGCGGAGTGCTTGAGGCTACAAGACAAAGATTCCGAAGCGATCCGCACCCTTGATGAAGTGCTCACAGTCCGTCCATTGTGCTCCAAAGCCTACTACACGCGCGCTTTCTGCCACATGAAAACCGCTGACATGACGAATGCCCTCGTAGATTTCAACATGACGCTCGACATCCAACCAAATTTTGTTCAAGCACTTTGCGGCCGCGCGTTTGTTTGGCTTATGAGTGGGAAACTCGAGAAAGCTGCTAACGACTTGACAGCCGCCAGCAAGATCTCTGTTGGTGCTACGGTGACCTGGATAACAGAACTGTCTGAATATGAACAAGAGACGCTGAAGAATCAAATAAAAGAGTACTTGGTAATGAACTCGAAGACGCGCCAACAGAACCACGATTCGCGTGAGGACCCCTCGCTTCTTCCTTTGGGCGATATCTTGACTCGCGCGTTCGCCACGGATTTCGAGTGCCATCTCGTGTTCGCGGAGATTTTACAGTCAATGTGTAAAATGGACGAAGCGCAGGCAATTCTTGTTCGCTTGATAACACACAATCCGGATGACTATTTAGCTGCCCTTCATCTAGCTGCGTTGAAAATGAGAAGAAAGAAAACGGCCGACGCACTAGAAGACATCTGTACCCTTCTGAAAACAATAGGCGAAGAACAACTGTCGAGCTCCTTGCTGAGACTAACTGATGACGATCGCGCGCGTTTAACTCGCGAGGCGCATTGCGAGGGAGTTCAGAGATTTAACGCACATCCAGGAGATGCCTCGATAGAAGGATATTTCTCAGTAGCAATCGCTGCCTCTCCAAACAAAGCCTTTGAGTCTTACATTTGGCGCGCAAAGCTGCAAGCGTTCAAAGGTAAATTTGACTTAGCCATCAATGACTTGACTTCTGTGCTTGGTAAAAAGCCAAACTACGTCGAAGTGCTGTGTGAGCGAGCACTTTTGTTTACCCTTCAGAACAATCGCAAAGCGAGTTACCAAGACCTATTGCAGGCGTTACTTCTCAACACCCAAGCACTAAAGAGCTTCATTCTGTCACTTCCTGAGGATAGGAAACATCTCATTTTAAGAACTCTCGAGGACTGTGCTCAAATGCTGTTTTCTCATTACTTGTCGCGAGGTATCCGCTCCAAGTTCATCTTGAAGCTTTGTCATTTATTGGTTCAAATTGGCAGTGGCGTCGTGTCCTACCACAGCATGTACGCCGACGGGCTTATAATCTTCGAAGATTACCGAAAAGCCGCCGAAGAGCTCGATATCACTGAACGACTCTGCCCCGAAGATGTGTCGGTCCTAAGCCGAAGTGGACTCGTATATACAAAACTGAATGAAATTGAAGCTGCGGCATCGAAGTTTCAAAAAGTGACCGAAAAAAATCCTGAAGCTGTGGACTTCGCGCTCAGAGCTTTGAATTCGGGACAGAAGCAAAGTATCTTTCAAGAAGCCATCAAGAAAGCAAATCAGCATACTAACTTGAATCAAAACAGCCATGCCTTGGGATATTTTACGCTTGCCGCTGTCGCCGCTTCTGAGGATCAGCGGAACGAGATCTTGCGCATGCGGTCTAAATGTTTTGAGCGCCTCTTGCGTTTCCAGGAAGCCATTGAAGACCTGACGTCTGTCATTACATCCGGGGTAACCATTGCCGGCGATCTCGTGGCTCGTGCAAATCTTCATTTACTCAATGACAATTTTAACAGCGCGTGTCTTGACTTCATTGTTGCTATGGAGACACAAGAAGTGACGGCCATGACACTGGTTTCGTCTTATCCCGGGAAAGAAGCTGCCATTAAAGCATTTCTCAGGGCAGCGATGGCTGATCTCAACCGTAGGAAGTTCTCTAATGGCCTCAGAGTTTGCACCTATGGACTTAAGTTCGACCCCAACAATATCGAACTAAAAACTCTGAAGCGAAAGTTTGAACTGGGAGTAAGCAACAAATGTTTCATTCAGTAAAAAAAATCGTTTCTTCTAGATAAGAACTGACAGCAGTTTTTTGTGGCAAATGTTAAAGTTAGCTAGTGTCAAGGAAACAAATGTTTGCTTCTCTTGTGGAAAATTTTTAGAAATTAGTTATCTTTTCTGAAGACTTTTGATGATCGTCTGGTACATCAGGAGATTGGCCATTATAATTTTCACTCACATCATGCGAGAAGAATTTTTTAACGAAAGTTTCATCACGGTAACGGGGAGTTGTAGAATTTTGATAGTCATTAAATTTTAATGGTGTCGATTAACTCCTTGTCTTGTATGACTGGTTTGTGAACCTCACAGGATACCGTGCGTGCTCGGAGAAACGCTGCGCTTGATTAAACCGACTTCTTACGAGGGCCGCTCGTGACAGCAGAAATACTATAAGCGTCGCTTTCAGAAAATAACGCGGCATCCAAAGCGGTACTTATTCAGCCCTATCGCTATTTGAGTACGACATGGAAAAAAATGAGACTGACAGTTCAAACTGAGTTTTGATCCTTATTACCATCGCTTTTCAATAAAATTAAGAGCTGTTAAGATTTGTAATTTTTTTTTCAAATGTCTTTTTATTGAGCGACGCCCTATTAATGCTACATCAAAAGGAAGAAAACTCTGATAGGCGCTGGCCGGTATGTTAAGCTCGGACCATGCGATCAGGCGTTCTTTTTTCCGCCTTGAAAAGAAAAACGCATGTTAACCAGGGTCAAACTAATTTTAAGAATGTCTTTTCCCCAAACATTTCGCGCGCTTTTTTCAAAGCGCGTGTTTTTACTTGCAATGGAGTTCGGGATGGACTGAGCCCACGGTTTTCAGCGGAATTGTTGCCAAGCAACAAAACGGCACATAACGATCACAACAGCTAACGTCAATCACTTCTCAACTAACGGAGTGTTTGTGCTAAAACCATAATGAAGGCCATTCCCCTATATCGTGCTAAAACTAAACGAAGACTCAAACGTTTTACGAAAACATTTCCCCACTGCTGCCCTAGACTCGCTTTTTGTAATCACATGTATTACACGGGGAGATTTTTGTTCCACGCGAGTAACAAGAAGAAGTGTCGCAAAATTTGTGATACAGGTATTGTGGAAAAGACTCGTTATCAGTTTTCACTGAAAAAAGAAAGGATGAAGTGCAATAAGATGTCCATCTTCTTCTACATCACCACTAAACAACACAAGTTCAATTTGGTACATGAAACAAATTCCATAGTTAGAGCGTTTCATTATTTTAATGGGTCGTTTGACTTTATCACGCGGCGATTTTTTTTTCCGAAGAAGACTGTGTGTCGTAATATAACAAACACGAAGGACCGTGTTTGACCACATTTCAAAACACCGAGAAGAGAAGAGAGTTGAAAATACGACGCGCAGTGGAGTATTTTTAACGAACTTCGAGGTGTTGGAAAATGTGGTCAAACACTAAGACAGTGTTTGATATATCTTTTCACTCGAAAATAAAACTCAGGAAAAGACAAAGAAATAAATCGAAAACATCTATGCAAATTAGGATCCGACATCCAAACACCACCACGGTCATGATTTCCTTTGTTTAAACTTTGATGAATTATTAATGAGATTGAGAAAGAGCAAGGAAAAGCCAACAACGCTTGTTGTAAAAGGCTGAAAATGAGTGCACGCACACAAATACAATAGCACTTGACTTTTATTAGCATGATGAAGGTAATAATTACTGACAATATTTACACTCACTCTTACAAAAAAAATACAGCCATAAAATGAAAAGAATCTCATGCGTACGAATAAATAAATTCTTGCCTAAAATTAAAATTTATAATTCAAGTGCAATGCAACGAAAATTACGTACACAAAGAAAAGCACGTCTTAAAAATCACTTTCAAAGTTCTTACAACTTAGTTGATAAGGTAAATAATCATCTTTGGCGATAAAAGCCGACATTTCGAGGGTTCGCCTGAGATAGAAAAAAAGTATTTTCAAGGAAACATTTTTGAAAATGTAACACGTTTTTTTCTTTTTGGAAACTTGTACTCCGTAGTAACTACATTTCTGTGCAACCACATATCGAATATATTCTAAAAACGCCTCATACAGCCTAAATACAAACTGAAACACTCATAAGAATACAGTTTAGATTTTTTAATACTTTTATGAAAAAGATTTTCGGAGAAAAACGAAATTAAAAACGTTGACAACACTAGTATATTTTCATGTGTCTTGAGTGTCACTTTTCGTTCAGATACTTCATGCTACATTTGAGATTTTGGTCAAATTTTTTTACACTTAATGAGCTGGGAGTTAACCGCTCGTAACTATAAATACTTGTAATCACAATCTTATGCTATTTACATGAGTTTTAATACTTTATGAGTAAAACCTGTGAGCATATTTCCTTGGATATAAATACGTAACTGAACAGGAACAGCTAGAAAAATTTCCTTATTCTTCTGGGAAGAAACTTGTTTTAGATCAGACTTGATCAACTCGTTTATTCTCAAGACTTATCTTTTGAAATATACCATGAAATAGTAAAGAGAAACTGGATGTTAATATCTTAAGTAACGCTCGCCTATAATATAGCGGTTTTTAATACGCTCTTGTGACTGGTTTTAAAAAAATTCGCGTCAGTTACTCAGCCAATCAGATGCAAAACCAACCCACTCGCGGCTTGGTTACGCGTAGTTTCCCGCGCTTGGCATCGGTCACGTGTATTTTTCACGTTCTCATTCAGTTGGTTTACTGCGTACTTAAGGTTTAAGTTTTTTGTGACTGCTTTGGCAGAGAGGGTATTTTTCATATTGAACTGCTAGGCTTAAATTAATACAACTATATACAAGGGTAGAAAAGGGGCATCGTGATCCCGTTTAACGCATTGATTTTTCACGCATTCTCACGTCACGTATAACACGCACATTCCCAAATCACGCATAACCCCTTCGCGACCCTCCGATCGTACATCCTCTTTAGAGTGATGTACGGTTCTACTTTGTTCACTCGCCAGAACGTATCATAGAAATTAAAAATCCTCGTCAGAATCTAGCAGTGTAGAATTCTCATTATCATACTTGTATCCATGCCCATCAAGAACAGTAACCTGCATGCCTGGCCTGATGGAGTCCAAGTTATCCACCACAGTGCTCCGATAAGATGTCACCGAATTCCCGTGCATAGCACTCTCCTCGTTGAAACTTTTCAAGTTCTGTGCGTTAGCGTAATGCTGATAAGACCTGGAGAAGTTGTGTATTGCATCGTCCACAATGTCTTTTGGGTTAATTGTCTGCCGGAGATTTCTCGAGATGCTTTTCAAGGCGATTCCTTGCCCCCGCTCGTCAAGTTTTCTCTGATGGCGGTAAATAGAGTAAGGGAAGGCAAACCTGAGAGCGATGGCGGCCAGGAACATTTCTATGCACACCACGAAATTCTGATAGCCGGCAGCTATTGTTCCAGCAGATATATTGTGGTAAGTGCGGATAGCACCCGCCTTTTCTAACACAGCTAGCAGGACACCTGAAGGAAAAGGAACGAAAAATACTTTGAGGTGACATATAAACTTATGGTTTGGCTGTTTTAATACAGTATTCTGTAAACCACTATCACATAAACCAAATTTAATACCATGTCCATTTGGCATCAACAATATGCAGTTGGTTGTTCTATTTTTCCGTGTTCTTTTCGAGAAAAAAAAAAAACAAGTTTTCGGTCGGTTTGATTGTTTCAAAGTTTTTAACGGGCATAAATTGGTTGAAACGGTTGATTTGGTTGAAGTTTACCAATAAAGTACTTTCCCAGCCACTCGTGAAACCCGTGCAACATACTTTGACCAATCAGAACAAACCTGGAGTGGTGGTGTTTTTTTTTTCCAACCAATCAGAGACATTGTGACTGCAGGTTTTCCGTGCTTGGTTCGGATGGCACTTTTCGTTTCGAGTTTTAATGGTTCCTTGTATTATTTTCGTTTGTCGTGATTGGTACCATGCAGTTATCTTAGTTTTGGTTCAACGACAATCATTAAAAAAAAGCCCCCAAGTCAAAAGTAACTCTTATTTTACTTCGAATGCAGATAAGTTATTCCTACCTTGCCAAAAAGACAGGAAAATAACAGACTTGATGGTGAAAAACTTTAACACTGGATAGTAAGGGCTAAGTAGATCTCTTGTAGCTTGATAAAACAGAAACAGAGCGTACAGTGCCAAGGATACTGTAATGTTGTACACTATTGTAATGTACAAATAACCGCGGTCCGCTCTGAAATAAAAGGAAAAAGTATCCTCTTTGCTATGATGCTTCTGTGTTACAAAGAGGCTTGGCTATTTAGACCTCTGTCTTATATAGATATCCCCTTTTGTAGTTAATCAGTGTTTAAGTGCTTAACCCTTCCTCCAGAAACATTATTTTGAACAGTCTAACCAGATGTAATATTGACGGGAACTCTGCAACGCTGCGGTACAATGTTCACCTGGCAACCTTTGACTCAAATTTGCTTGATGAACTTGCCGAGATCCAGTTTTCATTTTCCGTTATAAAAAGGGGATTACTTTGGTGTTAAGGAGGTTTGAAATACATTCACTGGGGCCACGTTCCGCCTCCAGTGCTGGCGGCCCAAGTAGTGTTGAATACACTTCCAGATGATGTGAAAAACTAGCCTTCCACAAACATATTTAAAAGCAAACTGCTTGGCTTTTTAAAACAAGCATTTTTAAGTTAAGTCTCTGTGCTGTTCTTCAACTGTTATAATCTCTAGTTTAATATTTATATAGAATTTTGTAAAGCACCATTGGACCTCTGTGAATTGGCACTATAGAAATTTTTATTGTTATTATTAAGTAATGGAGCAGCAGACAACTTTGCAAAAATTAGTACCCAGGTCCTTCTCTCCAGGGTTGGGTATATTAATTCACTGTGCCCTAAACTTGATAATTAACAGTCACATGACTGAATGATTACCTCCAGTCTCCATCTGAGTAGTATCCGAGTGGCTGAAGAATAAGTGTGATCACTGCCATGATGGGTTTTATAACACAGTATTGAAGTGTGGCCTAGATGGAAATAATTTGTTCAGTCACAATAAAAATATTTGACATATGTGGCAAGAATGATTTTGAATGAATGATTTTTCCCTCAACCTCTTGAAATGTAATTTCACTGAAATATGACATCCATTCCCAGAAAGCTAGTTTAGCCAATCAGAATGTAAACGCCAAATTAGCCGGCAGAGCAAGTGGGGGAACAGTTTTATTGTTAAATTTCATGTGACCTATAAGCAGTCAATAAAAGTACACGTTGTTGGGGGGAAATCCTGCTATACAACAATATTGAATATTTAACTTCTTTGCCTGTGGGAAGGAAGGGTTCAATATGTGTTTCCACTGGTCCATCTGCAATAGGTGCATCAAACTCAATAGTACATGTATTTTCGATGTCTTCAAGTTTGTAACTAGAATTAAAAATTCACCTGTTTACAGAATCTAAGGAAAACTATTGTGTATTGACATCCCGTCAGACAACATGTACACCATAACCAGCTGGCTCTGAAATATAACAATAACTGATTAGTAAGATTACTCATCAGGTTCAAAATCAAATACTGTAGCAGGAGGAAGTGTGTGTGGATGTCATAATAAATATCAGGTTAAAATATTTAATCATGCTTGACTGTGTAGGTTTGATAAAGATAGCCAAGGGTAAACTCTGACTTCAAGCCTCAAGGTAGGCAACTAGGAGTAAATTACAGGGAGTTTTGACTGGCTACCACCTAACAATTTGCCAAGACCCATTTATACCCCTGGGTGAAGAGAGGTGTTATGTCAGAACACAACATAATGGATGCATGAGAGAGGGTAATTCTCCCATGGTAGAGTCCATGGTTGTAGCTATGATATACCATACCTTCTCGTTAAAAGAGTGTTCTCTAAATAATAACTGCAGAAATATTTTTAGAGTTCTTGTGCAAGACTTACTTGATTGGCTTTCCTCTTATTTCACTCAAGATTGACATCTCACCACCCAAATATTCATAACACAAACTCAAAAAGTTGTAAATGACAAATGCTGAAAAAAGAACCATGATTTCAAAATTATACATAGGCTAGACAAAAAAAATAACCTTGAAAAAAAAAACATTTAAAAGTCAACCAAGAGAAGGCAATAAGAAGGAATCTTGGGCAGAGTTCTAATGAAAATGTTCCATGTAAAGTAGAAAATTATGGAGAATGCGTAAATCACTGACAGTGGAGAAGGGTTTACTAAAGCTATGAATTAACTTTATAAACTAATAGCAACCCTCCCCCCACCTCCTTAAATGTGATTCGGATGGTTACCATTTTCTCAAGAGTAACCATTCAATTAAACCAACTCAAGAGTACTCATTCAATTTATTCAACTTTAATATTATATGATGACTATTACTATTTTACTACTACTACTACTACTATGATTATAACTATTATTACCATTTTGTTACTATTTTAAATATGTTCTGAATATCAATTGGGACATTGTCCTGTTTTCTGCTCCAGTTGCTGATGCCTATGACTTATTTTTTTATTATCATTATTTTATCATTTTATCACTTTGATTTCCTATGTATGAGTATGCAATGAATTCAATAAAGTTAAAGTTTAAGTTAAAGTTAAATTACTCCTGAGCCAAGTTATTCAAAAGCTGACTAATGCAAATTTAGATTTAAGTCTATCCAGGTTTCACATTCTGTTGTTTACGAGAATTGATCACTGCAATTTCGTCATCAAGTTTTAGATAATTTGGACAAAGTCAAATCCGATGTCCATGTACTGAAATTATAAACTGAACTGAACTCACTGAAAATTTACAAATTAACTGAAATTAAAATTCATGCTCGGACCAGATAGAAAAGCAAAGCAAGAGAAAAGAGCTCAAAACCACAACACAAAGTCCAGGCACATAAACTGTACTACCCACAACTATTTATTTAATAATTTGATGTGTTATCAAAGGTTTAAATAGCCATTATAATTATTAAAAACATGATCATTGAATAATGCAATTCGAGAGTTTTCATTGGCTTAGCCATCATAAGTTATGAGCCATTATTCCATGCCCTACAAATATGCCAAATGGCAAGCATATGCGTAATTTCTTGGTGCGTTTTAAGTTTTATTTTAGTTTAGTTTTCTATGTTTTGGTATCGTTTTTAATGAAACAATTATTCCACTCCACAGGCGCACGTTGGATATGAGGTGAGTATAGACAACTCGACGCTATGCACCTCGTTGGCTATATGTCATTTCATATCCAACCTGTGCTCATGGAATAATAATTGTTAAATAGCCACTCAGCTGTGTTCTATTGGAAATCTGTAAATCTGATGGGTTCTCTCATTACATTCTATTCACTGATAGACAAGGGTTGCACATGCTGCTCTTGAAACTGAAATTATTCTAATTTCTTTTATTAAAAATACACAAAATTGCAAGTGTTGTGGTATAATCCTTTAGTGTCTACTGAACAATACGTCTACTCTCCCTTGTTTTCTATGAGCAATATTCCTGATCAACTCGGCCATGCCTCGTTGACTATTAGCCCATAGAAAATTTGGAATTGTAGTCTAATATTGTTAATTATCAAACATACCTTCATAACAATCCCGGATGCTGTCAAAGTACACATAATATGATTGTTCAAAGAACAGCAAGCTCAGCCATGAATCAAATGCATAGATAGGAACAATGAAAAGGATCCTTACAATCCATCGCTGTTCACTTGGGTTTGTGTAATATTTCAAGTGTTGATAAATCTGCAAGTGACATAACAACACTTAAAACATCATTAATAATATTTCTATACAAAGTGATCACTGGAAACTAACTCGAGAAAATAATATAACATTAAGACAACTGGAACAAGAAATAGTTTCAATTTAAATTTATACTGGAAATGGAAGAAACAAAAGCTTGCAAAAACCTACATCGTTTATAATCCTGAATAATATGAAAGAAACATCAATTCTAACTTTATCAGCGGGGCACAAATCCAGACCAGTTTCTGCCTTTAACAGTGTCGATAATTACAGTCACCAATAAGTGACCACCCCTTATTAAACAGCCAGTTATCAAAGCCCCAAAATTATTGTCAGTAAAATACTATAAATAAAACCCCTATTAACCAGCCACCTCTATCCTTTTGGTTGTTCTGATGACGGTTATGCTATTGTTGTTATCACTACTAAGCAGCCACCCAAAATTGTTGGTTATCTTTTTTTGGAATAACAGGTTAGTATCTGAATTAGAAAGGGACACCTCATAAAAACATTCAAACAAGCATTTATATAAGTGATTCCATATTCACTAAGCAGTTAACTTGATGGTAAGAAAATATTCATTATTAGCCGGGCACCTTCCATTTCCCGCGGGGTGGCCACTTAATAGGGGTTCAATGCAAGTCAGTTCTCATCTTTTTGATTTAAATTCTGACAGAAATCCCAATGTGAAATTTTCTCAGGGGAAATATATGTCCCTGGAACTCCAAAGTGACTCCTGTAAATGGAAATTGGATCTTGTGCACCAGATAAATGTTCCCACTCTCTGCTAATCTTTTGTTACATAATTTTTGTATTTATGGCCCAACCTTCTTCCATGTCAAAATATGACAAGTTATATTTTTGGGGGGAAGGGGGAGAGGGGGTGGTAGGATGTGGAAGTACAAGTGCAAATCGACTCTTATATTTGCTGGAGAGACATACACTCATAATGTAGTGGCCTAATTCAAGTTTAAAAGCAACAATTCATACTAGCACTGATTCTCTGATGGGTAACTAATATCACACTGATAGCAAATTTTATCATTGGTAACTCTCTTTGTCAGCTTTTTGACTCTCCAGAAAACTTATGTGTGCATGTTCTTAAAGTGCCCTACAAAATGCATCTCATAGCCATAGGAGCCATCTTTGAGATGATTTCTATTTAATACAAGATCCCAAAAATGTTTTACCAGCAAGTAAAACTCGTATTACTGCAGAAACCAATTTAATGACCGTAAAACAAGAGAGCTCCCTCGTGAAAGTCACGTCATATTAAGAAGAGACAGGAAAATTCATACGTTCCGATTCATGCCTGGTATCACACTCGAAGAACATTTACTGATCGTCAAAACACTTTTGATTCTTGAAAGAAAAATGGCTGGATGTCCAGCAATATATGTCCGAGAATATGGCAATTAAAGGTTTTCACGTATAGAGATGAAAACTCCACAAAACTTCTCTAAAAGAACGTCAAATAATAGCACATCCTTGTTGACAGCTTAAAATGTACACGACTAAGTTGTACAGTTTCGTTTTGAAAAAGCACATTCGTCGTTCAGACTAAACCTTGCACAGTTACTCACCTGATGGCATGTTATAATCAAAGATAACCACACAAAGATCCCAGATATCCCACGAGCAGTGGCAGTTTGGAAGAAAATCCGTTCATTTCCCACTAATCCGGGTGTAATTTCTGTTCGAGGTGGCAAAGTTGTGTTTGGCAAACTTGGCAACACAGACGAATTGGCTAACATGGAAGAAGAAAGGTCCGAATCCTTCAAAGAAACTATTCAAGGGCGTCTCCTTTCTATCCTTCCCAGTTTAGTTCAGAGAAAAACTAATCCAAAAACGGTGGTTATCTGTAAAGTCATGAATCTTTCTTTCCGCAACAAACTTCAACGATGCTTCTAAAAATACCTACTGTGTCGTGAGCTGCCGCTGGCCAGTTATACCAGAGTAGGTGTCAACCTCGTCCCCAGGGTCTTCTCCTCGACAATTTTCAAATTGTCGAGGAGAACGAGGTTGGAGCAGGTGCTTTTGAAACAATGAGACACAACTTCATGCTATGACGTGCAACAGGAGCATATGCGTGCAATCTATGGCTGTATCTGTCTTGGATTTGTTCACGATTTATTCTTTCCTTGGTTTCCAGGAATGAAACAGTTTACTATCTTGTACGATCTGCATACTACAAACTAAAGATATCCCATGTGATCGGGACGATCTCGACAATACAATCTGAAAAACTATCGAACAGATCGATCACAAAGGCCCTCAAGGCCGTAGACTGTTAACAGCCCTCTATTTTCTCGTATTTTCATTCGGTCGTTGAACGGGCGCCTTCGCGAGAGAACTGGACGCCAGCGCACAATTTCAGACCTGACCGTGTTTTTTCATTAGCTTAGCCTAGCTATCATGGTTTATGAACCATTGCCAAGATAGACTGCGTTGAAAAATAAAGAGCTGTGAACAGTCTATCAGCTGCAGGCAAACAGAGGCACTTGTCTCAGTCTTTTTTTTTTTTTTTTTTTTTNTAACCTTAGGCCTAGTTAAAATTTCAACTTTCAATATTAGAAGCCGGCAATCAGGACATTACCTAGTAACGGGAAAACTGAGGCAGTAATTTTTTCCTTTTGTTTTTGTCGTTTCTTGTTTTTTTCTTTTTGAAGGGGGAAAGTAAAATACTGTTAAATACCAAGGAAGAGATTTTAACACATATTTTTACATTATGTGATGTGTACCCTTCTATTGACTGAGCCCAACCTGAATCATATAGTGTCACCATCCTTAGGTACGACTAGTAGGATCAGTTCCCACTTCTTTAAACTTGGCTGCAAAAGATTGTCGGAGTGAGAAACTGAAGGGAAGAGAGCAACCGGACTGCGCGTATGATTTTAGGGTTGGTGGGCAAGATACAAATTTTCCCGCTGGCTTTTTTTGCCTCTCGTTCCATGATCTTAGATCAAAGGAAAAGCGGAGAATGTACCGCACTAATGGGGGTACAGGGCTTAAGAAAAACAGGACGATATGTACCTACAAACATTCATGTATTTACTTCAATGTTAGGGGAAAGTTTGTACCCCGTGATTCACTGATTCGCGTCATCTCTCTTATTAGAACTATTAGCCCCTTCAGTGCGTTAATTCGAGTTATTTTATGAAAGAGATGCCAATTCTGATATTCCCTAATACAGTTTGCATCTCCTTACATTATTACAGTAAGGGATTGAATTTATCCGTACTTAACCCGAAGAGAAAATGGGAAAATCGCCCTACTGCTATAACCGCTACACTTCAAAGATACTTCACTTCACTTGCTTGTTGCTAGATGACAAATGCACCACCCCACTGGTCACTTTTAAGAAGTGCAAAAAAAAAATACAATTGAAGTTGAAGTTGGTAAGCTGAAACCCAATTGATTGCAAAAGCTGGCACTACGGCAAAAAAGCAAAGTACTAATCATTGGCCTATGTATTCTTAATCCTCTGACAGGACTCCTCAGTGCTAGGGATATATCTTTCATATCCCTGGCTCTAAATCCCATCCTGTCCATGAGAAAGACTGGTTCTGTTAGCTGAAAAATAGCTCATTAGACAATATTTTCTCCTTTAGCCGTGCAGGGGTGTAGCCAGGATTTTTCAAGGGGGGGTGCGGGGGGGTCACACTGTGTCAAAGTGAGAGTACTCGCCAGATTGTCATGTCGTTTTCGCTACCTGTTGTAGGTTGTTTGCTTACAAAGGTGGGGGGGGGGTCACTGACACCCCAAGACCCCCCTAGCTACGCCACTGCCATGGCCGTGCTATTTTACAATCGATTTGGTTTTGTCTAAAATAATAGACGAGACTACAATGATGGTGTAAAATTATAACCCAAGGCGGTTGAAAAGCAATTAGCAATTAGAGAAGAATGATACATTAATTATATAGTGGCACTGTTTTGTTGACGTAGCACCAGTTTCCTGCAGTATGGTATGATTCTAAAGCAGGTCTTGTAGACACAAAAAGAGCCTTTGTCGATCACTTGGGACTGGTTTCAAAGACAATATATTGAATGATTTAAGGTCCAACCATGCTATCAAAGAGACAATAATGTCTGGAAATTTCTGAGACGTCTTAACAATGCTATGACGTTCTCTCGTTCTTGGGAAACAAGGAGCCCATCTTGAGAAATGCCTGTAATTCAGTTGACCCGAGCATTAGGTGGGACAAAGAAAAAAGTCTGACCCTTTCGCTTACAGGTGGAATGTTATGACCCGCTGAGATACGACCAGGGGAGTCTGGTGATGAGCTAGGCAGTTGCTAGCTAGGTTCACACGCACGCTTGACACTCTGCTTGGATCAGCAAGTGCAAAAGGTCCGGTGTCGAGATAAAGGCACCAAACAGAGACCAGGCGTTTTATTTATTCATTTAATTACTATTATTACAATTTTTTTTTTGCAAGAACACCTGATTGCAGGTAAACCAGCCGGACGTCCTTTGCAAGACGCTGTCATCTTTTCATTATTCAACACCTTACAATATATTGGCAGTTAAAATATAACTCTTAATGAACGTATTATCCTTCAAAATCACACAAAACGTTTTGGTATTGAGTTAGCCTAGTGATTTAACGCCTTGTATACAGAAAACAATATTAACTTCATTGAATTTTACAAGAAAACCTTAAGATAATTAGCATACGGGAACGTTGTCGACCCAGCATGAACAGTGTGCAAGAGATAATTTTTCAAATTGTAAATCAGCATCTCTGTATCTGTCCCGGACCTTCGATTTTCTTTTAGTTGGCCGATATAGCAAGCGAAGTTATAATCACAACGATTCCAACTAAAGCAAACGCAGTCTCTCTCGAAACAACAAAAAGAACGTTTGTGAACAGATTAGCAGC